ATTTTGTGTTTTATGGTTATTTTCCTGCTGTGGACATCTACATCATATATATATCTTACAAGTGAAGATCTATACCACTGAATGCTGTTTACGGTAGAGTTGATTATAGCTCTAACAAATGTGAGTAAACCATTATTGTATGTTGTACAAGCTCCATTTGCCCTGACATAAAGCACCATCAGATCCTTTGGTTTTTTTTTTTTTTTTATTCTTTATTTTTCACCAAAAAGAAATGCATATTTGTGACAACGTATAGGCTTACGCAGAAGCCACATTACATATTCAGACAGTTTGGTTGTACAGAAAGGAAGGGTGAAGCGTTAGTGCACGTATGCATATTGATATCCCTGATCTTTGCAGCCGTCTGTCTGTCGTCATGAGGGTTGCTGATGTTACGTGTCCTAGTTTATCTTTTAGACCTTATTGTGGTTTCATATGACACTTCAGTTGGTGTATTTTTGTTCTAATGATAATTAACGGTATCATAACAAATGCATGGGAAATTATACAAACTTAAAAACTTAAAAACAGTAATAAAGTAAATTAGCGTGCCTGCCTCTGTAGTCCAGGAGTTGTTTGTCGTGTGATAATTTATTTATTTATTTATTTTTATTTTTATTTTTTGTGTTTTTTTATTTTATTTTTTATTTTAATTCTTTGTTTTTTCCATAGCCAATAATAAAGTGCGCATTTGTGACACAGCCAAGGCTTTCGCAGAAGCCGCTGTATGAACGTTTCATCTTGTCAGGGTATAGGCTTACGCAGAGGCCGCAATAGAGATACATACATTAATACTTGTATAGGCTTACGCAGAAGCCTTTTTCAGTGGTTCAGTAGTATAGAGAAGAAGAGCAGTGATCTACAGCTGATGTGCTTGTTTACTAGCGCTTCCAGTCTCGTCAGTGGCTGAATTGCTATTTAGTGTTTTAGCACACCACCTCTACGTGGCTGTCTATCGAGTCTTGGCCTAAGTACACATGTCCCTTGGAATGGCATGGCATTAGATGGTTGTTAACTAATACTCATTTGACATTTCGAAATATTCCTATGGGTAGAACATATAAAACATATATGGAACTAAACCTGGCGTCCAGTGGTGCAGTATGTCGGTTTATCCGTGCCCGCAGCCCGGACGAGAGTCGTCGTGTGTCCCCTCCGCCCCCCCTCCCATGTATGTGCTTGAGTCTCTTGTCAACCCGCCGTGTTTTCCTGATATTGTTCCCATAACTCCCAAGTTCTGTTGAACTTTTTAGTGGTGTGTCTGACTAGGGAGGTTAGTCTATCCATTAGGTAATTGTCTTTTATCTTTGCTAGGACCAGGGCCACTGGGGGTAATTCCGGGCATCGCCACTTCTGTGCTAACGCCCTGCGTGCCGCTAAGTAAATCATGTTTAATAATTGTTGCTCTGGGTGTGGGAGGCCGACCGTTGGTCTGGAGAGTAGGCAGGCCCAGGGGTCTAGCTGTAGCGGCCTCTGCAGTATGTTTGTGCTCAGGCTGATAATTTGAACCCAGTATGCTTGTACCAAGGGGTACTTCCACCACATATAGATCCTTTGGTTTTATCTTCTCTTTTGTATTTTCTTACAGACTCCGTGACGAAACAAGAATCTCTACTGTGTTTCCCCTAACAAGAAAAGACTGTTTATTTGGGAACCTGTTGTATTTTACCTTCCTTTAAGTGTTATGAATCCCATACCCATACATACAGACTTCATTGTTTATTTTCTCCGATTTGTATTTTTTACCTCTTGTTTTAATATATTTGCTACTTTTTATTATACTTTTTCTGCACAACCTGTTTTTTGTTTGGCTTTTATCGTTTGATGTACTAATGAGATGGGTTCTCTTTGTGATGGCACAAATGAGCAAAAACATTTTTTTTGGGGGAATCAATGTTTTATTGAGATGATTGCTTTAAAGTTAAAAATCATTCAAATACTATGTCAAGGTAGCACTCGTTATAAATGCCCCCGTTAGCAATGTTATAACACGTTAAGTTTGTTTAGTTAGTTTTCACTCTATTAGTTACATGCCAAGTAACCGGCAAGCGTAGCCTATATTGTTTACATATACTTATTGCCTGCCAACAACTATAATGAGGTTCTTGACAACATCTTCCCCCTCAAGTTAGAATAAGTATCACATAGTCAAAACGTTAAGCCAACACTAAATCTAGCCTTGCTTCTCTAGTGTACCTTATACCACAGAAGATGTTAGTCATAGCTTCGATCTACCAATACAGGTATCTGTGGTCAAGTTACATGTAGCTTTTCCCTCATGCATAACCTGCAGTCTAACCCATCTTGACACAGAACTAAGTCTATAGTGATTTGCTCCTGGATAATCTAGTCCATTACAGTCATCAATAATAAGATTGGATATAACTCTTTGTCACGCGATAATAATCCATAAAAATGTGCTATGTTTTTTCCACTGTCTAACCACTGCAAATATATGTCTGACACTCTGCATGCTCTAGCTGTTGTGGCATTGTGTGCTAGCCTATATGTGATATTCCATGCACAAATAAAGTAAAGAATTAAAAAAAAATAAAAAATGTTAAAGATCATTACAGTGTCACAGATCGGAGTTACGGTGTAAACAACATACATGAGCAGCAGGATACAACAACTTCTTTGATGAATTTAAGTAGAACACCAAAACGAGCTAATGAATTTTAGCATCACAGGAGCAGAACATCTAAAAATATCGAAATGAAAATTCTAATACTTTGGACTCAAGAAAACAATTTAAGGGATTAAAATCAGTAATCGAAATATTTAAAAAAATATATACAAAAAGAGGAAGAAATTGTGCAGGTAGCACCCCGTGGTGAGACTTAAAGGACCACTCTAGGCACCCAGACCACTTCAGCTTAATGAAGTGGTCTGGGTGCCAGGTCCAGCTAGGGTTAACCCATTTTTTCATAAACATAGCAGTTTCAGGGAAGCTGCTATGTTTGTAAATGGGTTAATCCAGCCCTCAAAGCCTCTAGTGGCTGTCTCATTGACAGCCGCTAGAGGCGCTTGCGTGATTCTCACTGTGAAAATCACAGTGAGAGCACGCAAGCGTCCATAGGAAAGCATTGTAAATGCTTTCTAATGAGACCGGCTGAATGTTCGCGCAGCTCTTGCCGCGCGTGCGCATTCAGCCGAATGGGAGGAGAGGAGGAGGATCGGAGGAGGAGAGCTCCCCGCCCGGCGCTGGAAGAAAGGTACGTTTTAACCCTTTCCTCTCCCCAGAGCTGGGCGGGAGGAGGTCCCTGAGGGTGGGGGCACCCTCAGGGCACTATAGTGCCAGGAAAACAAGTATGTTTTCCTGGCACTATAGTGGTCCTTTAAGCGGACTAACTAAGGGGCAAGTTACTGAGATTTCTCCAAGATTTGTCCGTTTTCAGAGTTCTCATAATCTCTGTTTTTGTTGCAATGCATGTATATAGGATCTTCCTAAATTAAAAGACTAGCCCAGATGTTGACCTGTTGATCACTGTGTCTAGAGGGGTATCAGGCTCAGCTACACCTTGCTGATGAGCCCAAAGAAGGCTGTATCTCTCATGCACAGGGAACTTGCAAAACAATTCCGGATCTGCACTGCCCTTATAGGTAGGATCTGATAAATGGTGTATATATAGGCTCTCTTTGTAATGACACGAGTGAGCAAAAAATTATTTTGAGACCTGAATGGGGACTAACTGAGCGGCAAGCTATTGAAGTTTCTCTAAGCGTTTGCCTGTTCTCGGACACTCAAACAAACAAACAAACCTGTTTTGTAAACATGGAAAATAAAGATAATTTAAATATAAATTGAAAGATTTTATTTGTACATTAAACAAAATGTAAGTGCGTGAAAGATGTTTGCCTATCACAGAAATCTCACCAATCTGAAAGCGATATTTGAAAACGAATCTGAAAAAAAACTGTCAGAAAGAAAAGACCTGCACCTGCTTTTTTTTTTTTTGTTTTTTTTTTGTATATTTGAAGCAACAATGAGGGAAAAAAATAATAAGAAAAAAACAGGAAAGAAGTCTTCGGTACTATTTTGGCACAAATAAGGAAATAAATCGACAGAAACAGGAAAAGCGCAAAAAAAAAGCCTAGAAAATGAATGCTATGCTTTTTAAATTTCATATAACCACTATAGTACCAAAAGGGAGCCTGCTAGCGTGGCCCAGCTGTCGCTGGCACCCTTTGGAGAGGGAATACCTCTTTCAGACCTTCTCTTCTTTTTTTCATGGGAGTGATTTAATTTTGGGATGCAAATCTAACACACAGGTGACATGGGCTCAGTAAAGTTTATAGACTCTGTGGTTTATGGCAAAGCTATAAAATGTAAGAATTTTAGTTATTTTTTATTTATTTTTTTCAAATTAACTATTTTGGCCTAAATTTTAATTTCTCAAAATCTTGGTGAATGTCAAATTGTGTAACTTGAATACAGGAATTTCTAGAGTAATTCCAATAGTGGATTTCTAAAGTTCCCAAAATGTAAGCCTGCAGTTTCCAAATAATCTTGGGAAAAAATTAGGGGGGGGGAAAATGAATAAATTAGACCTGAAAATCTCTGCACCCTGTCCCAAACTGCTTTTATCAGGGACACATTGAGGTATTTACATTCATTATTTTGTATTGTTATCAATATTGCAGCAGATAAGTCGACCCTAGTAACATAGTTTTGGTTAGTTCTATTAAATAAAAATTTTTTTTAAAAAACCTAATTAAAATAATAATTTTTGTGTAATATTGTGTGAAATCTACCAGAAAATTAACCCTTTGAGTGCCAGGCCACCTTGATAGATGGGAGTGACAGAGTTGCTCTCTAGTACCCCAAGGGTTAAATCTACTATAACTACACACAGTGATTGCATCAGAGCCCTTTTTACTGCGAGTCCCTTCCTTTGTCACGGGCAGGAAGGGGTTAACCAGCCTGCTCTCCCCAGGGATGCAGGATCAGTGCCTTGGACACACTGCTGTCTGACGTCACAGGCACAGGCCACGCCCCGGCCAGAGCTGCTGCTCTTTAAACCTGAGCTGATTACTTGGAGGGGATTTAAACAGGGAGCATGGTGGAAAGTGGCAACTGAGGAGGAACAGCTCAGAGAGGAAGGGGACCAGGGAGCCGGGAGACGGCTGGCATCTGCTCAGAGAGGAACAGACATCTGGAACTTGGAACAGGAGAGCTGTCAGGAGACACTACATGAGAGACGTTATAACACACAGAGAGAGAGAGAGAGCAGGTCCTGAAACTTGGGAGCAGAAGGACCAGCTAGATGGTGCAACTTCAGAGCAGAGAGATAGCAGGGTGCTGAGACTGAGATAGCAGGGTCCTGAGACTAAGAGCAGAGAGATAGCAGGGTGCTGAGACTGAGAGCAGAGAGATAGCAGGGTGCTGAGACTGAAAGCACAGAGATAGCAGGCTCCTGAGACTGAGAGCACAGAGATAGCAGGGTGCTCAGACTGAGAGCACAGGGATAGCAGGGTGCTGAGACTGAGAGCACAGAGATAGCAGGGTGCTGAGACTGAGAGCACAGAGACAGCAGGGTGCTCAGACTGAGAGCACAGAGATAGCAGGGTGCTGAGACTGAGAGCACAGAGATAGCAGGCTGCTGAGACTGAGAGCACAGAGATAGCAGGGTGCTCAGACTGAGAGCACAGAGATAGTAGGGTGCTCAGACTGAGAGCAGAGACTGCAGGGTGCTGAGACTTGGGACCAGAGATAGCAGGGTGCTGAGAGCATAGATAGCAGGGTGCTGAGACTGAGATAGCCGGGTGCTGAGACTGGAAGCAGAGAGATAGCAGGGTGCTCAGACTGAGAGCACAGAGATAGTAGGGTGCTGAGACTTGGGACCATAGATAGCAGGGTTCTGAGAGCAGAGATAGCAGGGTGCTGAGACTGGGATAGCAGGGTGCTGAGACTTGGGACCAGAGATACCAGGGTGCTGAGAGCAGAGGTAGCAAGGTGCTGAGACTGAGAGCAGATAGTAGGGTGCTGAGACCAAGATAGCAGGGTGCTGAGACCTCAAAGCAGAGATAGCAGGGTGCTGAGACATGAGACCACAGGTAACAGAGTGCTGAGGTTGAGATAGCAGGGTGCTGAGACAGAGAGCAGAGATAGCAGGGTACTGTGACTGAGATAGCAGGGTGTTGAGACTGAGAGCAGAGTTAGCAGGGTGCTGAGACTGAGATAGCAGGGTGCTGAGGTTGAGATAGCAGGGTGCTGAGGTTGAGAACAGATATAGCAGGGTGCTGAGACTGAGATAGCAGGGTGCTGAGACCTCAGAGCAGAGATAGCAGGGTGCTGAGACTTGAGAGCACAGATAGCAGGGTGCTGAGACATGAGACCATAGGTAACAGGTTGCTGAGACTGAGAGCAGAGATAGCAGGGTGCTGATAGCAGAGTGCTGAGACTGAGAGCAGAGATAGCAGGGTGCTGATAGCAGAGATAACAGGGTGCTGAGACTGAGAGCAGAGATAGCAGGGTGCTGATAGCAGAGATAGCAGGGTGCTGAGACTGATAGCAGAGATAGCAGGGTGCTGAGAGCAGAGGTAACAGAGTTCTGGGACTTGGCAGTAGTGATAACAGGGTGCTGAGACTTGGTTAAACTGATAGCAGGTGTTGAGAATTTGGAGCAGAGATAGCAGGGTGCTCAGACTTGGGACCAGATATAGCAGAGTGCTGAGAGCAGAGATAGCAGGGTGCTGAGAGCAGAGATAGCAGGGTGCCGAGTCTTGCGAGAAGCGATAGCAGAGTCCTTGGACCTGGCAGTAGTGCTAACAGGGTGCTGAGACTTGGTATTAGTGATTACAGGGTGCAGTAAGTTGGAACAGATAAAGCAGGGGGTGCTGTGAGCCAATCCACCTGGAAGCACTTTTATCCCAGTACTGAGAGGAGTGCCATCTGGGAGCAGACACCAAGGTGTCAAGGCAGCTACTACTAGCAGAATCCAACCAGGAACCACAGGTGAGTAGATTAATAATGTTCTGTGCCCTTACCTCCCCCTTGCCCCCTTTTCACCTCTTCCTGTCTCCTGTCCAATATTTACAACTGGTGATGATCAAGACTTCTCATATCAAATTGTTTTGCCAAATTCTTTTTATGTGAAATCTGCTGGTTACATTCATCCTGTAATTGTTACAAAGTTGCCCCCTCCTCTGGCAGTAGAAGTGCTGTGGGCAAACAAATGAAATGAGGATTATCCCCAAATAGGAAACTATGGAAAAATAAATTACATTTTTTTTATTTTTTATAATTCTTTATTTTTGAACGTGCATGAGATTACAATACCTCCTGCATTGCCACAACAGCAAATGCGAGGATTTGCAGTACATTCAATGATACATGTAGGTTGACATTGAGAACTGTTAGAGACAATACTTTGCATCATTTGAGAGAACAGCACGAAATTTTATATTTAAAGTATGGTGACTAGTTAAACATAACACTTGTTTGTCTGGGCAGAGAGTGTCTTAGTGACGAGTCGTGTTAGGCAAGTTAGTAAGAACGATTAAGCCTCACAACACTGGTGGAGGAAAAACATGAGTGACCAAAGTGATGTAGTGGAGTAATATAGTGGCACCTTGTTAAAGGACCACTCTAGGCACCCAGACCACTTCAGCTTAATGAAGTGGTCTGGGTGCCAGGTCCTTCTAGGGTTAACCCATTTTTTCATAATGAATGGGATAATGAATGGGTTAAGCCTTCCCCCTAATCCTCTAGTAGCTGTCTCATTGACAGCCACTAGAGGCGCTTGCGTGCTTCTCACTGTGAAAATCACAGTGAGAGCACGCCAGCGTCCATAGGAAAGCATTGTAAATGCTTTCCTATGAGACCGGCTGAATGCGCGCGCAGCTCTTGCCGCGCGTGCGCATTCAGCCGGCGGGGCGTAACGGAGGCGGAGAGGAGGAGGAGAGCTCTCCGCCCAGCGCTGAAAAAAGGTAAGTTTTTAACCCTTTCCCCCTTCCAGAGCCGGGCGGGAGGGGGTCCCTGAGGGTGGGGGCACCCTCAGGGCACTATAGTGCCAGGAAAACGAGTATGTTTTCCTGGCACTATAGTGGTCCTTTAAGTTATATATATCCCGCAGGCTAAACAGGCTAGACAGTAAAAGTCTGGAGTGACTAGTGAAGGGAAGTAGCTAAATTTGGTTATATACCTGATGATGGCAATTTAAGCAAGGTAGGAGTATATACCCCTTGCGACTGCATGGTTTTGTTTGGTTATGGTCTGAGCATTTTAGGAGTTCTGGCAGTGGGCTCCCCCTTTTTTTTTTTTTTTTTTCTTCCCCGTTTTTTTTCGTTTCCCTTTCCCTTTCTTTTCGCACAATTTTAGCTTATAAACAGCATTGAGGTTGTACGTAAATTGGGCAGTGGCATGAGAAATGCACAGTGTTATCCGTATAGTTATGCCAATCATCAGCCTGGCTATCCCGTTTTGTCATTAGAATATAGCGCAAAGATAAGTTTAAAGGTAAACTCAGACAGGTTTAGTAAAATGAGAGTAGTAATCTGGCTATACATGCTGCTTGAAACAATTGAGCTTGTGTTCCTATTACTATTTGTGGTCAGACATTGCAAGCAGTCAATATTGATATAAGATGGCTAGTCCTGTCCCACTGCCTGGCTACGGGCCAGCAGAGCCTATGAGGCATCCAAACAGGGTGGGGGCACGTAATGAGACTAGTACAATTGTACATTAATAGTTACGCAGGAGTTAACTTGAGGTAACCATGAGATATAAGGTATGAACCAGTGATCACAGGCTAAGCTAAGATGTCTGTGCAATATTCAGACGTTTTGCGTGCTAAACATAAATTATAGCATGGCTCAGTGGTGAAATTTAGGTACTCACCGTAGAACCAAAAAAAACAATTAACATAAAACAAGAACAATAATAACCATTGGGTGATAAATTACATTTTAACTTAAAATTGCACAAAAAATAAAAATTATTATTTTTTAAAATAATTTTTCCCAGTTTAGTGACTGATGTATAGTGTCTGTGTTTCTTTTCCATCTCCGATGTCTTTTCACCTGTTTGTAAGATCTGGATTTACCCCTGAGACCCTGTCTGTTTTAGTATAAATCGCCTTATTTTATATTATCATTACGTATAAGGATTATGACATACATAAGTTTATGAAAGATAAATTAACTACTTGCGTAAGGATTTAATTCCATTCTGAATAGCGATTTCTGTGAAGCTACCATTGTCTAGCAGTAATAATAAAATACACTATTTAATCTACAATGCATACAAAGCTGATTATTTCTAGCAAGCAGTAACTGACCGGACAGTGTAATATGATGCATATTACTGGCCTCTGAAGAAATAAGCAGATTGCAGCCTTATAACCCTGGGGGGTTATTAACAAAATGCCCAATTGTAGTGAACTAAAAACCAACTCCGGTGTATTCACAGCTTAGCTAAGTTAAATGTGCAGAGGATTTAAGCAAAGAGCATTTTGTGAAAAAAAATAAAATTGGGGGGGCGGGGGTGAATACAAAGAGCGATTGGCGGACGCTCTCAGCCAATGAGTGCGGTCCTGCATGGCTCTTTTTAGCTTTGAGAACCCAACTCTTCTTCAAAAGCAGACTCTCAGAAGCAAGCTGTGGGCCCCTGGGGGACTGTCCTAAAGCACTTTGACGAATTGCACTGAGACAGTGCCGAGACATTGCTGGCATCACAAAATAGTGGTTATGGCGTTTGTAGTGTTCCTATTGTAATAATGTATTTAATCAGGGAACATAATAATAAATTATTTAACCAGGAAAGGTACATTCAGATTACTCTGGTTTTCAAGTACATCCTGGGGATGTTACCTTAGCCCAACAACCAGGGGTTGTTACTATTACCCAATTTAATGGTTCTCATTCTATCTACCTCAGAAGGATGAAGGGCTTAGTCATCCCTGTCAGGATTTGAACCTGCAACTCAAGGGTTGGACAGATTCTATTAATGATGCATTAGCTCACTAAACTATCTCACTGGCTACAATCAGCCATTTGTTATTATAATCAATTTAATAGCGCTCGTTTTATAGACATTGCCAACTCATACAGAGAAATGTGACCAAATAAATGAAAGGACCACTACTAAAGTCACACAGGCCACATCATCTTAATAACGTTGCCGTTGTGCAGTGCTCCTGTCAGTTGAAGCATTGAAGGTAAAACATTGCCATTTTGCAGAAACGGCAATGTTTACCGTGAGAGGTTAAACACATCTCCAGTGGCTGTTACATTGACGTAGAACTCATTCATGCGATGTGAAAGATCCCATAAGAAAACATTGGTTCCTTCCTATGGGGATGTTTGGATGTGCAACGTGGTCCCCAGTGCTCCTTTGTGAGGAACATGGGATTGGCTATACCTTCTCCAACGCGTCACAAGAGGTGGAGAGGAAAGCAGTGCCGAGGGAAAAATGTAACAAAAAAAAAGATTTAACCTTATTTTTTTTATTTGTTGTTTTGTTTTTATAATTAACTCCAAGTATATTGTTTGGTTATTTTCCTATATGTTTATTAGAAAAAAATTTTTTTAGAAGACATACAAGCATGTGACATCTGAGTTAACATATAGTACAAAACTGGACATTGCGAAAGTAAAAGCCAAAGTAAACAGTTTACTGAGAGAAGTTGCTATCTGTTCGACCACATGAAGCAGCTCTGTTGGAGTTGAGGATGTGTCTAATAGCTTCATTAAGAAGGTTTTCACAATATCACTTCCTCAATGTGTAATATCTATAAACAGTCATATCTGTCGCATATAGAGCCTGATTAATGAATTTTAAGTCAAAACAGAAAGGGGAAGGGAAAAAAACAAGATAAATTAACCAGGAAAGGTTGTGGTGGGCGAGGTTAGCCCTTTAACTGTGTTCTCCAGCCAAAAACGGTGTATTATGAAAAGCCTGTTTTGTTGCTGGAGTAACCCTTTAACTCTTTAAATATGAAATGTACTTTTACTTCCCTTTGAAATCCTGACAACTTTTACTTTAGTGCAGGCTTCCCCAAACTCCGGCCCTCCAGATGCTGCTGAACTACAAGTCCCATGATTCTATGAATAAAATAGATAGGCTGAGAATCATGTAGTAGTTCAGCAACATCTGGAGGGCCAGAGTTTGGGGAAGCCTGATTTAGTGATTAAGCCTGAGTGAATTCAAAGTGTTTTTTTATACTTAAGACTAATGTTGCCAAAATGGAGACATTTCTCCCAGTCAGTCATGCTTACACTACTTTGGCCTTACATTTTAAATTGACATTTCTCAATGAATAGCAGTTTTGTCTTTACCAGAGGCATCACTAAGTGTGTGTCTGTGTGTCCCTGTCTGTGTCTGTAAGTAACTGTGAGTGTGCAAAGAGGCGTGTTAAAGGACCACTATAGTGCCAGGAAAACATACTCGTTTTCCTGGCACTATAGTGCCCTGAGGGTGCCCCCACCCTCAGGGTCCCCCATCCGCCCGGCTCTGTAAAGGGGAAAAGGGGTAAAACGTACCTTTTTCCAGCGCTGGGCGGGGAGCTCTCCTCCTCCGATCCTCCCCCTCTCCTCCCTGTCGGCTGAATGCGCACGCGCGGCAAGAGCTGCGCGCGCATTCAGCCGGTCACATAGGAAAACATTATCAATGCTCACTGTGATTTTCACAGTGAGAATCACGCAAGCGCCTCTAGCGGCTGTCAATGAGACAGCCACTAGAGGCTTTGGGGGAAGGATTAACCCATTTATAAACATAGCAGTTTCTCTGAAACTGCTATGTTTATAAAAATATGGGTTAACCCTAGAGGGACCTGGCACCCAGGCCACTTCATTAAGCTGAAGTGGTCTGGGTGCCTAGAGTGGTCTTTTAAGCAGTAGAATTGGGGCAGGAGTTAGGGAGGGGCCAGGAGTGGGGCTTTAGAAAGGGGTCACCAAATTATTTTTGGCCTCAGACCCTGGGTATTTTTTGCATGTATTTCTGTACATTGATTACATTTTTGGAAATTTTTTACCATTTTTGGGGTTTGTATAAATGTATTCTAATACTCTGTGCTAATAGTAACAGTGTCATTTTTGGAACTTTGTCTGTTTTACTGACACGATTTGCCATGCTTTATTGCTTATTTTGTAATAAATATATAATTTCTGTGCTTGGATTACATTAGATTGGTTTTCTATGTTTGCCAAGAATTGAAGCTGTGATTTTAAGAAATTACAGCTGGTGCCCTGTCTATTGAGCTATATTAATATAAGAATGACATATTAGACCAGACGGATACTTTAAAATACGAGTATGTATATTGTATATACTCTTTTGCCAACAAGAACAAAAACATGATTTATCTAAGCTGTTAATTTTCCTTTTTTTTCTACAAATTTTAGGTTAGTATTGATGAAATTGAATAATTCTGCAGTTTAGTTAGTATATATAGCATAGCCCACAAATTTAGAAGGGACAGTCCTTTTTTTGTACCCAAATCTCTCTGTCCCTCTATTTTATTGTAGTGTACCTCTTTTCTAAAAAAAAAAGCATATTTTTGGTTTGTCTTGCGTGTGTAGCAGAACTCCAAAGCAATAATTCTTACAGTAATGTGTCTCTAAAGGAACACTAAAGGGTCAGGAACACAAACATGTATTCTGGGCCCTGTAGTGTTAAAAATACACGTAGGGTCCCTGCACCCTCTCCCCCCCTTGCAACCCCTAAATAAGTCATAACTCATATTTATTCTCTGAAAAGGCAGTGTTTACTACAAATAGCCTGCAGGGACATGTCTCTAAACTGTAGTTGTTCTTGTGACTATAGTGTCCCTTTAAACTGTAATTCATTTAGAAATCAGTCTATGTAAATAAGATACATTGTTATTGTTCTAAATTAACTTTTAGTTGCATAAATTGTTATTAGTAAGTCACCTACAATTTCATAGAACAGCCTGCCCCTGATCACTCCCCCACTCCCCCCCAATCAGCCCACTAAAATTAAAGGGTCTATTTAAAATGTTGGGGGTAGACAAAAATTGGCCATTGGGCACACCAGGTGGGCTGGGATTGTCGTGGGCTGAGGCCAAAAGGAAATTAATTGTATTTTTATAAAAATAATCATTTGAAATAAATAAATAAATATATATCTATATATACACAGTATACCGGTATATACTAAGTCCGATGATGTGTGTTTTGTGGACTTTATTTACATAACAGGTAGGTTGTCGTTTCAGACCTTTAACGGAAAGTCAGGAAAATAAAATGTTAAACTACCTGTTATGTGACATGGGGATATGTGCACCGTGACAGTATTTTATGGTGGGGATGTCGAGTACACTCAGGAGTGTGTATATATATATATATAAACAGTAATTACTACCCTCTCAACCCCCCCATTCCACACAGGGCCGTCTTTAATATGGATTGGACCCTGGGCAAACATTTGCTTGGGCCCCCTGAACCCGGTCGTCCCCTCCCTGGCATGCAATCATGCCGCCCACCCCAACGCAGAGGCGTACGTAAAGTAGAGAGGGCTCTGGTGCATGAATTATTTTGGGCAAGAGGGGGCAAAAGGTAGATCCCCATCTGTCATGCAACTCCAACAATGCTTTGACAGCTGGGGCGCTACCATTTTCCTATGCATGCAGGGTTATATTTAGCACTGAGCAGTATTTGTGTGTTTGAGTGTAAGCATGTTTTTGTATGGAGTATGTTTGTGTGAATGTAGGGGTGTGTTTGTATGTGGAGATGGCATTTAAATGCAAGTATGCATTTATGTGTAGTGTTGGTTTATGAATACACTGGTGTGTTTATATATAATTTTGTTGTTTAAAAAAAGAGGTGTGTTTATATGTAGTGTTGAAGTTTGAATGCAGGTGTGTATTTGCGTGTAGTGTTGAATGCTGAGATGTATGCACAAATACACATGCACTGTCACAAACACACACACACACACACACTGTGATACACATACACACACAGAAACACTTGCAGATACACAGATATACACAATCATACAGATGCAGCTATACAGACACATTTACACACACTGACACACACACATACAGACACACAACCTGGCACACATGCAGACACACAGATGCACACACGCATACACACGCAGATACACTGACAACATACAGATACACAGACACACACAATGACAACATACAGACACACAGATACATAACCTGACAAATGCAGATACAAACACTGACACACATGCAGATACACACATTGGCTACATGCAGATACACACATTGGCTACATACAGATACATGCACAGGTATACACACTGGCACACACACACAGATACATACATACTGACAACATACAGATACACACTGACACACACACACACATTGTGACAGACATACATACTGACACATACACAGACATACTGACTGGCACACCGACATACATACTGACACACACACAGACATACATACTGACACACACATAGACATACAAACTGACACACACACAGACATACAAACTGACACACAGACAGACATACAAACTGACACATACATACTGACACTCACACAGACATACTGACACACACAAAGACATACATACTGACACACACACAGACATACATACTGACACGCACACAGACATACATACTGACACACACACAGACATACAAACTGACACACAGACATATACTGACTGACACATACATACTGACACTCACACATACATACTGACACACACAAAGACATACATACCGACACACACATAGACATACAAACTGACGCACACACAGACATACAAACTGACACACAGACATATACTGACTGACACATACATACTGACACTCACACAGACATACTGACACACACAAAGACATACATACTGACACACACACATACATACAAACTGACACACAGACAGACATACAAACTGACACACACACATACATACAAACTGACACACACACAGACAGACACTCTTCAGTTTCCTACCTTTGAAAGAGGCTTCCTTCCCTGGGGTCCAGTGTGCTGGCTGGGGTAGTTGGGAGTTGGGGGTCTGGCTCTTCTTGCTCCCTCTCCTCACTGGATGCTGGCTCAGCAGCCTCCCGCACGGCCCGATATCTTTGAAGTTGGAGGAAGTGATTCGCGGACGTCACTTCCTCCCATGCAGCCGTTAAGCAAGGACCCGGTCGCGCTGTTAAAGGGCCACAGCGCCGACCGGACCTCTGCTGGAACATGCTCACTGGGTGGCCCTAAAGGTATGGGCCACCCGGGGGGGCCCCTTAGTGTGCGGGCCCCGGTGCAGCCGCAGTACTAGCGCCACGGGCCCATTAGGTAGGGAAATATTTTTTACAAATTAATTTTTATTGCAGGCGACGGGGCCCACGGGGCAGCTGCTTTGGGCCCCCCATGAGTAACTGGGCCCAGGGCAGCTGCCCCGTTTGCCCCTCCTTAAAGACGGCCCTGATTCCACACACAATACAGGCCCTATCCCACCCAACATATTTACACACACTGCACCCCTCACAAATGCTGGAACCCATACACACACACTAAATCCCCTATAGAGACACACTGCACCCCCCTCACAAACACACACTACATTCCCTACACACATTACATCCCCTATATATTATCTCGATCAACCATACACTTACTAGATTCATAGACACACACATCCCTTTTACACAAACACACACTCTGCAGGTCATGTGCACACACTTGCTATGTCCTCTAAACACACACTATACTCCCAGTACACACATTCTCCTTATAGCCCCATAGACATGCACACTACAGCTCCTAGCCACACACCACAAACACAACACAACACGACACAACACAACTGAAACCGAACTATTTATACAAAACAACCACATCACAAGCAGCCTCCAAACACATGCACAACATGCTTTCCTGGACCCTTTGGTACCCAGCTTATGGAAACACAGGAGACAAGTCACAGGAAAATGCAGCACAAGCGTATCATTAAATTTGCTTGCTTTGAGCAGAACAAATACAGGGCCTTTTTTCCATGAGAGAGCTCTTCAGGAGCGCTCTGCACATGGACTGCCCCAAAAGAGCATTAAACAAACATGTCATATCGTACCTCCCAACCAGGACTGGACTGGGAAACAAATGACCTGGGCATATTCAAATCAGAGAGGCTCAGTGGTGGAGCCAAAGAGGCTCAGTGGTGGAGCCAGAGAGGGGGCTTGTAGTATACTCACCAATGACAAGCCCGTCTCCCCCAAAGTGGCATGTTAGTTTTATTTGAACAGTGGTGTAATATACATGGGTTTACTTAGATAGAAGTAAAGCTATCAGACAGTTGTGCATTTGGGAGATATAATCCTTGGGTGTTATTTGCTAAACTGTGCAAGGAAAATTTTATGCCAAATTAACCGGGCAGGAAAAAACACTTAAAGTTACTTTCCTTCTGACTATTTAGGCCCCCAAAATTTGTCATTTCCATCTCAGTTCTCCACAATTTACAGTTTATTGAATAACCCCATAGGTGTATTTTATTATTTTGGTTTCCTGCCGAGGCTCCTACAGAGTGTTAATCTGGGTCTATGTGTATTAATCACTAAAAAGGTCAACTTCGTAGAAAATCTCATATTTTAGGTTAAATAGCAGCTGGAAACTGAGCTGAGTTGGTGGATTTTTCAAGTTTCCTTATTTTGGCCTAAATTGATAGACATGGATCCAAGATGGCGGTCCACACTTTCAAGATATAAAACATATGGGATAATTCAACATGTTTAAAAATCCCTGACTGTTCCCCTTTAAAACAAAATCCTGTTGTGATACAGTTAATATTATTATGTTTTATTTGCACGTTTGGATTATTGGTTGCCCTTCAACTATTGTACTAAAAACTCCCGTCTGACTTAGCAGTGTGCGATAAATAATTTATCTTAGTGATTAATAACAATGCAGAATTCTTGTGTGTCACGGAGTTTGTGATGTGAAGATGTGATATTTTAAGATTCTATACAGAAGCTCAGAGCAGAGATACATTGACAGTGTACAGTCTGTAAACTTGCACAGATCCACATTGGTGCCTTTATAACTGTTAATTAGAAACACTGTTTCTACAGATATTTTCTGCTGTGTTCTATCATAGAATGTGTACTAGAACATGCAGAAAGTGTAAGGTTTTGTGGCGCATCAAAGATTAACCCTTAGGAATATACGCAATGAGATGAATTTCAATAAATCATAAAGGGTTAATGCTAAGCTACGTCACCTTTAAGCGCAGAATTTTCAGGTGTGTTTAGCTCTGTCCCCCCAAAAAATTCTCTGTCTCTTGCTCCATGAGTTGGTGGAAACACAAGAAAGTCAGTAATTACATATCTCTGCAAATTAAAAAAAAAAAAACATACCCCATGTAAATGTAAAAATATATCAAATTCTATTTAGAAATGAGAAAGTGCACATTTGTAGGCAGCTGCCTACTCTGCCTGCTGGTCATTGTAGTTAGACACAGGGCTGAGTCACATGACAAGCGCTTGTGATGGCTCTGTAAACACGCTGAAGGCTTGTGATGATTGCAGAGCCCAGGTCGTTGCTATTAGTATTATATCTATAGCAGCTGTGCAATGGGGAAATTCACATATTGTGACATATTGATATAGACAGAGACAGATGGTGTGGGTAGCGCTGTTTTCTGACCCCCCACCCCTTCAACCTCTGCAGCAATGCTGGCAGCCCTCATACGTCTATTTCAGACAACCTCTGGATATGAGGCTGAGCACGTGCACTCAACTTCTTTGATCGACCATAGCGAGGCCTGTTCTGAGTGGAACCTGTCCTATGAATCCGCTGTATGGTCTTGCCCACCGTGCTGCAGCTCAGTTTCAGGGTCTTGACAATCTTCTTATAGTCTAGGCCAGGGGTAGGCAACCTACGGCACTAGTGCCATGCATGGCACTTGAGGTGTCTTTGCACGACACTCAGGGCTGCTAGAGCCAAACAGGTTCTGGTCTATCAGGAGTCCCAGGTAAATTTCAGATATCTGCTAATACAAAGAGGTGGTGAAGGGAAATCCTTAATTTATGCATTGCAGCACGTAGAGGAAGTTATCTCAGATCACTTAATTCCAGCACTTGTGAATGGGAATCCACACTGGAATAGAGCAGCCCGCAAGTGCTGTTGCAGCTCCTGTCCTTGAGCTGTACCTGGCCAGCCTGGTCCCCACTGGAACACAGGGAAGCCACCCACACTGCTTGATATACACAGAAATGCAGAATAACCCTCCCCTCATACAAATAATACGGACAGCCCACACACAAACATACACACAATCCACACAAACTGAACACCACTGACAATCCACATACATGCACACAACCCCACATGCAGCATCTCACATGCAATACCCCAAACAGCCTAACAATACCACAAAATACTCATAAACATATACAATATAATAGCTCATATACACACAAATACAATGATACAAAGCAACTACAGTATACGTAACAAGTAGAATACAGCAACATACACACCTCAATTTAAAAAAATAGGACTGGCACGCTACAGGACATCACAATCCTATTTCGGCACAGTGCTGCTAAAAGGTTGCCTACCCCTGGTCTAGGCCATGGATAGGCAACCTTTGGCACTCCAAATGTTATGGACTACATCCCATAGTGCTGGCAAAGCATCATGGGAGGTGTAGTCCAAAACATCTGGAGTGCCGAAGGTTGCCTATGCCTGGCCCAGGCCATCTTTATGTAGAGCAACAATTCTTTTTTTCAGATCCTCAGAGAGTTCTTTGCCATGAGGCGCCGTGTTGAACTTCCAGTGACCAGTATGAGAGAGTGTGAGAGCGATAACCCCAAATTTAACACACCTGCTCCCCATTCAAACCTGGGACCTTGTAACACTAACAAGTCACATGACACCGGGGAGGGAAAATTGATAATTGATAACTTTTATTGCCAACGGTTTAGACATTCATGGCTGCGTGTTGAGTTATTTTGAGGGGACAGCAAATTTACACTGTTATACAGGCTGTACACTTACTACTTTACATTGTAGCAAAGTGTCATTTCTTCAGTGTTGTCACATGAAAAGATATAATAAAAAATTTACAAAAATGTGAGGGGTGTACTTACTTTTGGGAGATACTGTATATACTGTGTGTAAAGCTCTGTATACATGGTGCTTGTATACTAGCTATGAATGTATTTGTGTGTACTGCTGCCATTGGAATGCAGTGGTGTATTTGTGTGTAGTGTTTGCATTTGAATGCAGGGGTGTGTTTGTATGTAGTGATGGCTTTTAAATGCGGGTTTTGTGTTTGAATGAAGAGGCGTGTTTGTATATAATTTTGGAGTTGGAATGCAGGGGTGTGTTTGTATATAATGTTTGTGTTTGATTGCAGGGGTGTGTTTGCATGTAGTGTTGGCATCTGTATGTGGCAGTGTATGTGTGTAAGTGCATATATCCCAGCAATCAAACACAGATATACACACACATTAACACACACAGATACACACTTCTAAACACACACACACATTCAGATACACACTGAAACATAAACACAAAGATACACACAATGACACATACACACCCTCAGATACACACACTGACAAAGAAACTCACACTGACACCTACACATACTCTGACACAGATACCCACTGACATATATAAACACACCTTGACACAGATACACATACACACACCCTAACACACAGATGCACATGCTGACACATACACACACCCTAACACACAGATAAACATGCTGACACATACACACACTCTAAAATACAGACGCATGTGCTGACACATACACACACCCTAACACACAGATACACATGCTGACATATACACACACCCTAACACACAGATACACATGCTGACACATACACACACTCTGACACACAGACACACACTCTGACACACAGATACACACACTGACACATACACACACTGACACACAGATATACACACTTACACATACACACGCTCTGAAACAGATACACATGCTGACACATACACACACTGTGACACACAGATACACACACTGACATATACACACACTCTGACACACAGATACACATGCTGACACATACACACCCTCTGATACAGATACACACACTCACACACCTTGATACACACTTATACATACACACAAACTGATATACACATACAGTTGCAAGAAAAAGTATGTGAACCCTTTGGAATGATATGGATTTCTGCACAAATTGGCCATAAAATGTGATTTGATCATCAAGTCACAACAATAGACAATCACAGTCTGCTTAAACTAATAACACACAAAGAATGAAATGTTGCCATGTTTTTATTGAACACACCATGTAAACATTCACAGTGCAGGTGAAACAAAGGATCCAAGATGGCCGACCGCCTGGTGGTCAGTAGCCGAACGACGCCACCTAGGAAAGTCTTTAACTACCGATTGCAACAATGTTGCAATCGGTTAATGAGTCCCACACGTCTCTCTATGTGTGGGCTATTGGGGGGTAGCTCATTCGTTTCACAAACAGCCGGTAAAGTCGCTGTTCGTGAATCAGGAAAAAGAGGTGTGACCGGAAGTTACCACCAACTAGCCTGGAACTATTATTCGGATCTAGCGAACACCACGATCCGGTAAAACTTTAACCAGTGCTCTTTTTGGTCCTGGCCCACAGATAATGGTGCTATTTGGAGGGACCATAAAGGAGTCTGAGAGGCATTTAAAGACACCAAGCTTGTGGAGGAGCCCACTATATTATCCGAAAGCGCCACGGTTAACGATGACCGAGGAAACCCACCCAGGTCACTGGAACTCTGTGCTGAATCGGGGCTGCCCGTGTACCACTGAACTTTAACCTTCCATGTAATTCGGGCTAGCCAAAATCGATCCATGAGCTTTTTGGACACTTTGGGCGCTGCAAAGAGAACTTCCGGGGATGTGGGACATGGAGCGATTCATATATGTTTTGTGAATATTTTTGATATTTGTGTGATTTTATGCTGAGTCATGCTGACACTGTACTTTATAAGCATATTGTGGACGTGTTTACTGTACCCTTGAAATGTATATAAATGGGCCATCTGGCCGGAATAAAACAGATCTTCGTCACCCTTCACTAAGTCTCGACTAGTGTTTGGGTGATACCGCGGTTACCTCCTGCAAGCAGCTATAATCACTCTGGAGCTAATCACAATGGGAAGGGGCAACCTAGGCGGTAGAAACCCATCTTCAGGGGGGTATTCCACCACAGTCAGGACAGTTATATTTTACTGTGTGCCTTTCAGAGGCTGGAAAAGAAGGTTTTGTGAAAATGTGGAATAAAACAGACATATTAATTTATTCATTCAACTTTTAAATGATAAATTATGCATTTTAAATTTATCTGTTTGTTGGAATGATATACCCAGCTTAAAGCAGATCTATCATGTGATATCAAAGCCTGATTGGGACAGAAAATCAGCCTGGGCACCTTTGTACCCAGTCTGGCTGGCCCACCTCCACCTTCCCTACCAACAGTCTCTCCCCACTGCCTCTGCTTGTTGGCCATGACGTGTGGGACTACAGAAGCCAATGCTGCTACCCTGTATGGGTCACTAATAATTCAGTCCTGGGGCAAGTATCAGCAAAGACCTATTTTACTCACCTCACATTGTGGCCAACAAGTGGCAACATGGGGCAGGGGAGGAAACTGCAGCCAATACATATATAACGTAGCGGACGCCCTGATTCACAGGGACGGCTGGATAGATCATCTAGTCTCCCCAGTCTGGCTTCCATCCATGATCATTGTGTCCTTTTGGACATTTGCCAAGTTTGCCCAAGAAACTGTCTGATACATTAATACTAGACATTAATGCTACATCCACCATAATTTCCTAGATACATGCGTACAGGCAGGGAAAACTCCTGTGGTATATAGTATTCATATTCTGCAAAAGTGAATTTATTTCCTTCCTGCAATAAATGAACATATTTCAGGCAGTCATTTATATGTACAGGTGATATGTATCCAGGAAAACCTGCTGTATCAAAGCAACCCTGGATGTACTTAGATGACCCATCCCTTCTGGATAGAAGCTATATACTAGCGTGCTCCTCAGTACACAGGTAGTGTGTGTAGTCACTCAGGTAACAGTTGTTACATTATAACCCATGAGAACTGAGAGCTTTTTTTAATGTAAACGTATTGTCTGGGGATTTATTCACTAAACAGCGAGGGGACGGGAGACTTACACAATTTAGATCAAAGAAGCAGACTTAGAAAATATGTTAGTCTGAAATGCAGATTTATTGAATAGTTCTTATCACTTATGTGAATAAATGTGTATTGATAGTGGAATTAGAACTACAACATTTCAAAGGAAAAACAGTGTAGACTGTAAGTCACCAAAGCAAATTTCAGTACAAGAAAAATACGGTCTATCAGAATCCATATAGGGGGAAAAATCAATAGAGAATATTAGTCTCTTATTATTCCTTAAGAATCCGCTGTAGGTTGGAACAAACATCAAACTGAGTACAAATCATAGGAAGGCTGGGCATGAAAAGGCTGATTGCCACTGCTAAAGAAGTACTAAAACCTGTGCATTTAACCAGGGGTCGTGAGGCCTATGGATCAAGTCTCCGATGGGCAGTAATGGCTCAAGCAAGATGTAATGGTTTATATTGCATAGGTTGTGCCTTTAACCATCCACTTCCTGCAAGTGTGGCTGAGTTATTGCCAGAATTTGTTAGACTTTAATATGTGTTGAGTAACAAAAACCTATAATTCTTGAAGCATTCCTTGCATACACCTGCCTGCCCACTCCTGGACATCCACAGCGTGCAATCTTCCTCCTGGATGTGGGACAGGGTTTTGCCCAGGGAGGGCATCAGATGAATCCAGACCATAGCCCAGGATTGCCAACCTTTTCCCATATTTGGGTAATGTGTGAGGGGACCTAACTGTTTAATGTGTTTTGCCTTGGGCTAATATTATTCTCCTTAACCATCTCGCTAATTGCTCTGTCGCTGGGGGGGTCCTCCTAGGGGGAAAAATCTAGAGAGGTCTGTTAATATCACTCTGGTTCTAACACTGATCAATCTACGATGACCAAGCTTAGTTCATATTGTTTGTATATTCCCTGTCTTTACAGTTACCTACTCTACATTGTGTTAGTCGTTTTGCGTTTCCTAATTCCTTACCACTAGACTGACCACTAAATAAAAAAAAAAAGAGCAGCACTGAGGACTCAGGAAGGCGATGGTCCAGAAATAGCGAAGGAAGCCGAGAAGTAACTCAGCCAGGTAGCCCATCAGGTTTCATACAATTCCCTCAATAAACAGTTTTCGGCAGTGCCACTGCTTTCCCAACAAGTGTAATGGAAGCCCTTTTTACACTCTAACGAAACCACCTTGCAGAATTTATATTGCTATATATTGTTTTACAGAGCTAATTTTTCAGATAAGCAATAGGTTGCCAAGCTAATGTCATTTATATATTGGGTCACTGTCAAAAAAGGTTAAGAACCCCTGCACTGTACCATCAGAAATGCTGTTTTTTTTTTGGTAAATATATTTTTATTTGAATTTTTCAAGATTTTCATGAGGTGAGCCAACAGTGTGGACACGCAGGTCCAAACATTTACAATTTCCGTTTTTTTTTTTTTAGATATACGGTGTTACCTTGTAAACTATAGTGGCATACAAGTCACTTTTGAGCTTTTGTGGTTCTTTTTCGGTGGACTCGCAGGTCCTTTCGCATAAACAATAAGACAGGCATAGCTCTATAGATCCCAGTGTGTTTAACCTGTCTGGTTCTAGTAGTCTTAATGGGATTCTTTGTTGGTGTTTTGTGTGTTAAGGGTAGGTGTTGTTTACTGTGAGGGGGGGGGAGAGATGGTGTGATCTCCCTTCTGAGGTCTGTTGGCAGTGATAACTGTATTTAACGGTCTGTGTCTTGTGAACCCTTATCATTGTCTGCCTGCCTCTTGCATGTGGTAACCTTCTTTGCGGTCGCGGGGTTACCTATCAGGTGTCCCTTTCCTCTCTGATGCAGATGTGTTTACTTTTCCCTCCTTTCTCCCTAGCTTATGTTTTATGTTCCCTATTTTCCATGCTCGAGCCTGCCTATCTGTGGTGTCTCGACTTCTACTCTCATCTTAAGTGCGTCTCCGCTCTCCGGCCCACTGGGGGGGGGGAGGGGAGAGGGGAGAATGGGGAGGAGTTCCTCCATGCGTTGGTACCATGTTCCCAGTGGTGGTGCGGATTGTTTTTTCCAGTAAATGGGGATGAGGCTGTTAGCCACATTAAGTATTCTAATTGTGAGGGATTTTTTGTATATTGATGTCTTTGTCGTGGTGTGGTGGATGAGGAACGTTGCAGGGTCCTTCGGTGGTGGGGTATCAGTGAACCTCTTGATGATTTTATATATTATCTCCCAATATGGTTGGATGAGTGGGCATTCCCACCATATGTGGAAGTAGGTGCCTGCGTGTCTTGTGCATCTCCAGCATGTGTCGTCAGTCATGGGGTCATATATGTGTGTTTGATATAGGGTGCAGTACCAGTGTGCTAGTATTTTGTAGGCTGTTTCCTGCGTCCCGCTTGACGGTGCGCAGTGTAGTGTGAGAGTACACATCTTGTCCCATTGGTCAGGTGTGAAGGTTGTGCCTAGTGCTACTTCCCATTTCCCCATGAAGCTTGGGGGTGGTTGTCTCTGCATCCGCATGAGCATGCCATAGAGCGTGGAGAGTCTTTTTGCTAGGGGGTCTGGGTTCATACAAGTTTCTTCAAATGTTGTTAGTGGTCTGCTGGTGTTGTGTGTTTGGAGTATTGTTTGTGTGAACTCTTTCAGTTGTCGGTACCTAAACTGTAGCATGAATGGATTGTTAGTGTTCCCTGTCATGGTTTCTAGGGTCTTGAGTTGGCCGTTGGTGGTGGCGTGGTATATTCTTGGGACTTCGTGTCCCAAGAGGCGGGCTAGTGTCCTTGGTTCCCTCCCTGGTGGGAAGGTCTCGTTATGGACCAGTGGGAGCAGTGGGGATGGTGTGGTGGTGAGTGACAGTGGCGTGGCCACTGTGTGCCACACCTGCATAGTTGCCTTGATAAGGGGGTGTGGGGCCGCTAATTGTCTGCCTTGTTGGTGGTCTAGCCAGGGAAGGATTGAGATGGGTCTGCCCACTTGTGTTGTCTCTATGTCCTTCCAGGGTTTGGTCACTCCTTGTTTAGTCCATTCCACAATCCATTGGATGTGTGTGGCTCTGTAGTACCTTTTAAAGTCTGGGAGGGCCAGCCTTCCCTTTTCTTTTGGTAGTGTGAGTACGTTGTGTTTTATTCTTGCTTTCAGTTTCTGCCAGGTAAACCTAAGGGCCATAGATCTAAAGGAGGCAAAGAGGGCCTCCGGGATGGCGCTGGGGATGGCCTGGAATAGATACAGCACCCGTGGCAAGACATTCATTTTAAGAACTCCCACCCTTCCAAACCACGAGAGACGCACCTGCTCCCAGTCTTTCAGGTCTTTATGGATGGTGTTCAGTAGCGGTTGAACGTTGGCCGCGTACAGTTGGGTAAGGTCTTTCGTGATCATCGCTCCAAGGTATCTCAGGGAGGTGTCGGACCATTGAAAGGAACGCTGGTTTTTATCATCTTTATTGACAGAATAATACAATTTGCAAACCCCATGTCAATCCTCGAAAATTCCTGGTTAAGTGAATAAAACCATTATTATTATTCAGAGTAAGAAAGTTCATGTACATTTTGTACTGTATTACAAACAATTGTCAGCACCATTGTATGAACATTGTTACTGGAACAAGAAGCAGCGAGTGCACTTGTACAGAGCCCCAGAGTTGTCCATTCGGACTATTTTTCATAATTCTTGTGTACAAATGTTAAATCGAGGGAATGTTTTCTTAAATCATACTCATTGGTTAGTATATCATTCAGTCAACGTAGGTATATCATGTGCGTTATTTAACAGAATATGGCCACCATACAACTATATCGTGGAAACAACTTAACTAAATTATTATTAAATAATGCTCATGATATAAACAATGTGATCTATAGTATGACACAAAACTTTGTAAAGTAATAAAATGTGAGCAGGATATTGCTTTGCTGCAGAGGGATTTGGGTAGATTGGGGGACTGGGCACTAAAATGGCAGATGAAATTTAACGTAGAGAAATGCAAAGTTATGCACTTTGGGGTCAAGAATGCACAAGCAATTTACACCCTAAATGGTAGTGAACTAGGGATAACCACACACGAGAAGGATTTGGGAATTGTTATAGACAACAAATTAGGCAGCAATATGCAATGTCAATCTGCAGTTGCTAAGGCCAGTATGGTTTTGTCATTTATAAATAGGGGCATAAATTCTCGTGATGAAAATATAATTTTGCCTCTTTATAAATCGCTGGTAAGACCACACATTGAATATGCTGTGTAATTTTGGGCACCTGTTCTAAAGAAGGAAATCATGGCACTAGAAAAAGTGCAGAGACGGGCTACAAAATTGATAAAAGGAAGGGAGCATTTTAGTTACAAAGAAAGGTTAAAAAATTTAAATCTCTTTAGTTTGGAAAAATGGCACCTGAGAGGGGATATGATAACATTATACAAATCTATTCAGGACCAGTACAAATCATTGTGTGGAAATCTATTCATAAACAGGGCTATACATAGGCTGGAAGAAAGGAGATTTCATCTAAGGCAAAGAAAAGGTTTTTTTACAGTAAGAGCAATAAGGATATGGAATTCTCTGCCTGAAGAGGTTGTTTTGTCAGAGTCTATACAGATGTTTAAACTGCAATTGGATAAATACTTGTAAAAACATAACATACAGGGATATTATTTCTAATTAGTGGGGTAATAGCTGCTTGATCCAAGGAGACATCTGACTGCTATTTTCTGGTCAAGAAGGAATTTTTTCCTAGTTTGTTGCAAAATTGGAAGCACTTCAGACTAGGTTTTTTGCCTTCTTTTGGATCAACAGCAAAAACAAATGTGAGGAAGGCTGCACTTGATGGACGCAAGTCTCTTTTCAGCTATGTAACTATGTAACTATGTGAGATGGGATAGATACAATGTCACCCGTGCAGTAATCACACAATTCCACCTACTAAGAACACACTTATATAATAAATATAATATAACTATAATGCAAAATATACCCTTTGTATTTTTTGTATATATTGCATTATATTTTCCACCTCGTTTTTTTATGTGCAAGCTCATGAGATACACATGTTGAGGATATGTTTAACTAAATTATTGGTTACAAAATACAACAAATTGTGCTAACGCTTTATGACATTTTCTGCCTGACAACTCAAGGACTCCATACCGGTGTGCCTGTATGTGTGTATGTATGTGTTTATATGCATGCAATGTGTATCAATCAGTTAATAGGCTGTAATCTGACACAGATTGCTCACCAGACAGGATTAGAGCAGTGAGTGGAGGATTAGACTGATTAGAAGACTGATGCAAGAGATACATACCTTTTTACTCCATGTTTTGAATGCTTTAATAAGAAGCCCTTTCAATGCAGAAACACTTAGGGGTTTATTAGCTAAACACCAAATTGTGGTTATAGGGTTACTCCACCCACCATGACCATTTCTGCTTTGAGAACTGGTCATTAGTGATGTATTAGCCGCGAGGCAAACAGGGCATTTGCCTTGGGTGGCACTATCCAGGGGGCAGCAAAAAATGCACAGGCAAATACCTTGTTAGCCTGGTGGCAGGCAGCTAGGGGAGTTCCAGTTGGGCAATGTCATATTCCGGCTCCCGGCATCACTGCAGCGCGCTTGGAACTCAGCTAGCCGCCCGACTGCCTGCACGCCTGCCATCCACAGCAGCCCAGCCAGCAGCCCCACCGGACCCCAGGTAAAAACTCCACCCAGTTCTCCCACAGGTAGAGAGGCTGGGTGGATTTAAATTAAAATGAAAAAAATTATCTGTGAGTGTTGGGGGAGAGAAATGTGTGTGTGTGTGTGTGTGTGTGTGTGTCTGGCTGTCAGTGTGTTTGTGTGTCTGGCTGTCAGTGTGTGTGTATGGCTGTCAGTCTGTCAGTGTGTCTGTGTGTGTGTGTGTGTGTGTGTGTCTGTCAGTGAATGTGTGTATGTCAGTCAGTGTGTGTCTGAGTGATTGTGTGTGTCTGTGTGTGAGTGTTTGTGTCTGTGAGTGAGAGTTTTTGTGTGAATGTCTGTCAGTGTGTGTCTGTGAGGGAGCCTGTGTGTCTGAGTGACTGTGTGTGTCTGAGTGACTGTGTGTGTCTGGCAGTGAATGTGTGTTTGTGCCTGAGTGATTGTGTGTGTATGTCTGCCAGTGTGTGTCTGTGAGGGCGCCTGTGTGTCTGAGTGATTATGTGTGTCTGTGAGTGTGTCTGTGAGTGTGTGTATGTCTGTCAGTGTGTGTCTGTGAGGGAGCCTGTGTGTCTGAGTGAGTATGTGTGACTGTCTGTGAGTGTGTCTGTGTGTGTGTGTGTGTATGTCTGTCTGTGAGTGAGTGTGTGTGTTTTTCAGTGAATATGTGTGTGTGTGTGTGTGCGTCATTGTTTGTGTGTGTGTGTGTGTGTGTGTGTGTCAGTGAGTGTGTGCGTGTCTGTCAGTTATTGTGTGTGTCTGTCAGTGTGTGTTTGTGAGTGAGTCAGTGATTGTGTGTGTCTGTCAAATCAGTATGTGTGTGTGTTAGTGTATCTGAGAGTGTGTGTATGTCAGTCAAAGTGTGTGTTAGTCCTTAACATGAAAATGTGTGGCATTGACAGGAAGGGGTGGGGCAAATGTAAATTAGGGGGTGCCCTAGTTCCGTCATGCCTAGGGCAGCACAGATCCAAAATACACCACTGGTGGTCATGGTGGTAATAGCCAGTATATGCAGTCTTTTAGCTTGGAAAATTGGCATTTGTGTGCACCTCTGGCTTACGTGACTGGCAACTCAGATCTCCATTCTGGATTACCAAATGTGAATTCTGTACATAAAATATATCCGTTCCTCAGCGTACAGTGCACACTAACAATGGACGTATTGGGCTTCTTTGCCTGCACAGGGAAGCCTGGGTTTCTCCTCCCTTTACTCTTTTTGTGCAGCCCTCTCTGTCTCAATGCAGTTGTATTTGTCCTCCTCCTTGTCTCCCTCTCTTTGCTGGCTCAGAGTATGAGAAGCCTTTGATTCAACCTTGCGTGGCTCCCATGATATCATTACCACGCAAGGAGCTAAGCTTTTTTTTCTTTTTTATAGTTATGCGTTGTTGAAGGAGTGGGAGTAAAGAGTAATGCCCAGTAGGGCATTATTCATTTAAAAAAAGTATACAGTAAAAAGGGTTTGAGTAAAATGAAAACCCTTTGATTGAAAACAAATTTACAAAATTTAGGACAAAACTGATTTGGAACATATTTGAAGCTGAACAATAAAAACTTGGTTATTGTTGCCTAAAATGTACAGTTTGATTTTTCAATTTACTGGAATTCTATGCTCAGTAATCAGTAATATTTTGTATGCTAGTGTGTGTGTGTGTGTGTGTGTGTGGGGAGGCGGGGGGGTTAACCTGGTTACATTCCCCTGGCCTTCAAGATGATAACAGGTCCTGATACTTCCTAGTTGTTTAGCTCAGTGCAGCTGAACTCAAGAGACAGAAATTGGTCAGAACACCTGTCTTGCAAAGACTTCTAATTGAGCTGCATTGGGATGTCTGTGATTGGACAGCCACAGAAAGACTGGGCGGGGTTAGAAGGGGAGGGCTTGCAAAGGCTGTAACATCAGCAATTGATTAAATTTTCCTTTTCATTGGACACACCAGAGCTGACCATTTAGAAACATAGAATGTGATAGCAGCTAAGAGCCATTCGGCCCATCTACTCTGCCTAATTTTCTTAATACTTGCATTAGTCTCTTTTATCTAGGATAGCGTTATGCCTATCCCACACATGCTTAAACTCCCTTACTGTGTTAACCTCTACCACTTCAGCTGGGAGGCAAAATTCAGAACCCTACGATGTAATAGAAGAGCGGTTCTCTGATTTACATGGGTCTCGCTTTTCTACTTGTTGAAATCAGTAGAAAAAAATTAGAGACATGGTTGTGAATGCGTATGATAGAGTCTGACATGAAGACTTGTCTTCTCCTCAGATATCTGCTGTCCCATGTCCCTTCATATTTTATCATAGCAATGCCCATGAGAGTTTGTAATTGTGAAGGGCATGCCAATGAATGAGAATCCGCAACTCAAAATGACTGTATGCTATTATTATTTTTAGTAATCTAAGATATTCATTTTTACAATTTGTTCTTACTTTTTCAGATGGCTTCTGTCACAGATGGACGATATGGACACAAAGATGCTTCAGACCAGAACTTCGATTACATGTTTAAACTTCTCATCATTGGCAATAGCAGTGTAGGCAAGACCTCGTTCCTTTTCCGCTACGCTGATGACACCTTCACGTCAGCTTTCGTCAGTACAGTGGGAATAGACTTCAAAGTGAAAACCGTTTATCGAAATGACAAAAGGGTGAAGCTGCAGATCTGGGTGAGTGGCAAAATTACAAAATCTCGCACAAAGTCTCAAGGCTTTAATCTATTCTGCTTTAATGTTAGACAAGACAAGTGTTGCTATAGGTGGCAATTAGTCCATTAAGAGAAGTGTAATTTTAAATTCTTAGACTGTTTGTTTTCCTAAACTCATGATATAACTACAACCTATTTCAGAACTGGTTGAATAAATCACAGGAGAAGGCGGTCAGTATTTGCCCAAAAAATCTATATACAGTAGTTCATATTACAAACTGGTGTTTTGCCAGGTCTGACCTAGTACACATGTCCATTCCAATCTAATATTTCCCCCCAATGTCCCAATCTCTACCATCACAACCAACATGTCCCTACTAACCCTTCCTTTCCTTTTCAGCCACCATGCCATTTTGCCCACCACGCGCTCTGCAGCCATTATGTGACTATGGTCCCTCCTTCGCCGCCATCATTTACCATGTCGTTATCTAGTCTTCCCCTGTTTTCTTAGGAAGTCATTCTCTCTCTCACACCTTCCCCATCATGTCACATTTTTTTTAATGTCTCCCCCGTCTCTCTTTAGCCTTGTAAGGTCTTTATATGGCTGCCGCATATTATGTATTATAGTTTGTATTGTGTACTATAGTTTGTATTGTATTGTTTATTGTGCATTATAGCTTGCATAATTTTCTAACCCATACTGACTCCCTACATCCTTCTAGCGTCTATGCATGTGTCAAAGTAATGATGCAGAGCATCTCATGCTATTTGTCCTGTTGTGGTTTATTTCTGGTCCCATTAGCATGTTCATAGTATGTTTAAATCCATGGTATTTGACTTGGGTTTCCTTTACCATTCTGATATCTGACATCTTTGAACCGGCTTTGTATCTCATGTGCCTGATCTCTGGCTCCCTCTGACTCTGGCTGGTCTCTGACTTCCGTGTTATCATTCATTTTAACGTACGTTAAACCCAACCATTCTAAGTATTAGTAATACATTACTGTATATTCTTTATCTAATCAAGATAGCGTGTTGAGATATATATAACGGGACAAACCTTCATGCCACAACCTCTCCCTTTGCAGTCACGTCAGCAGTTCCCTACATTCTTAGTAATGCCGTCTAATGTCCATGATATTAGCATGCAGTAAAATAGAGAGTCAGGATTATTTACTGAGGATTTTTTGGGAATTTTAAGTGAATTTCAAATTTAAGGCCAAAATATCTGATTTGGAAAAATTATCCAACCCAGCAATGCTTTCAGTTTGTTTATTTTAGTCTCACATATAAAGTTCTTTTTGAATCCACTTCAAATTCTGACAATATTCACTTTAGCAAATAACGCTGAGTATCTTTGGCCTGGTGTTGGTAAAGGTATGTAAAACGAATGGATCACTGTAATGGGTGTTATAAAATGTTTTACATTAATATTGTTTTTGTTAAAGTGTGCTTGTCATGGTACACTCGATGTACGCTCATTTTAAAGGGTCCACTATTTCACCAGAATTGCCTGCAAATGTGTCGATTGGGAGAAAAAAAAAATCTATTTAAAAATAGGTCTTTGGCATAGACCTCTAGAATTGACTGACAGAGAAAGAGCAGGAGAGATCTACTTGGCCTTATTACAATGGTTGGGGCTTAGAGCTACAGCTTCAACAACCCCTATGTTAAGCTAACCTGACCCTACTTAAACAGCGTAATCAGTTGATAAATGCTACCTAGTTAAATGTTGGTGCCCCAGAACTTCTGAAATCAAATTAATGATAAAATTGCAGATAACTGTGTTCAGGGTTCACAGAAGCCATGTACAGCTCTGGGCAATGCAGTATCTACACTTGAAAATAAAATGTACTAAACTGCTAGGATGCAGGTAAGTGGAATAATTAATTAAATATAGTATAGTTCTCGTTTCATTATATTACTGCCTGATGCTATAAGTATTCGAGTGTGCGGTTAATTCAGCCAGTACATTATGTTTATGTTTACAGAGAATATCCCAGATAGTCTGCTTTATATCCACCGGGGTAGCATGTCATGGTTGGCTCAAACACGAGTGCAGTTCAATCTGACCTTATATAGTCTGTACTGACTGACTGAGCAAAACAGAGACTACTAACTGCATCTACTTTCTGTTTCAGAAATGGCTTATTTATGTCTATTTATTAATATTTAAAGTTTGTTGAGTGATTTGCACGGAATAAAAAATGATAGTTTGTCCAAGTTGCAAATGAGCAATTAATAAAATGCAGCAACTTAGATCTAAACTCTGGATAGGAGTGAATTGAAAACCAAATATACGTCTTCATTTTGCAATCTGGATTTTAATTCAGTACAATTCAGAGTTTAGTGTATAATCCTGGCAGAGTTTTTCACACCTAAACGTGAGAAGTGTTACACATAATTTAATTGTATGAAGATGCTTCAGTGAAAAGGCGTTGTTGGAGGGGGTGGGGGGGAGGCATTGGGGGCTGAAGCCCAGGATATGGGACCCTTTAGCCCCAGATCTGCTTTTTTTAAAGGGGAAACCAAACAATAGACTTGTTAAAGGACCACTCTAGGCACCCAGGCCACTTCAGCTTAATGAAGTCGTCTGGGTGCCAGGTCCCTCTAGGGTTAACCCTTTTTTTTTATAAACATAGCAGTTTCAGAGAAACTGCTATGTTTCTAAATAGGTTAATCCAGCCTATAAAGCCTCTAGTGACTGTCTCACTGACAGCCGCTAGAGGCGTTTGCGTGCTTCTCACTGTGAAAATCACAGTGAGAAGATGCCAGCGTCCATAGGAAAGCATTATGAATGCTTTCCTATGAGACTGGCTGAATGCGCGCGCAGCTCCTGTTGCGCATGCACATTCAGCCGAAGAGGAGGATCGGAGGGGGAGAGGAGGAGGAGAGCTCCCCGCCCGGCGCTGGAAATAAAGGTCTGTTTTAACCCTTTCCTCTCCCCAGAGCCCGGCGGGAGGGGGACCCTGAGGGTGGGGGCACCCTCAGGGCACTATAGTGCCAGGAAAACGAGTATTTTTTCCTGGCACTATAGTGGTCCTTTAAGATCTTTTGCCGAGGATTATTTAACTATTTACCCACCAACAAGTAGCGCTGCTAACAGGCAAATAAAATGTAAAATGTTCGTTTACTTGCATGAAAGCATTGTATTAAAACCAGTGCTTTGTGAATCTTCCGAATCCTTTAGTTTGTATTGATTTTAATCCTGACACTGAATGTATCTGGGTGATTGTTGCAGATTCGCTGACTGTAGTTAGCTTTAGTAAATAGGAGAACTACCATTGCGCTGAGAATTCAATCATTTTCACCGGATTTTGTCCACACAGTCTAAATCGGCGCATGGGGGGAGGGGGTTTAGTGATAGTGAATAACCCCATAAGTTTTCAATTCTCTACATTTTGGTAAATTACGCATGCTGCACAAATTGCCACGAATCATATATATTGTTAATTTTGATTTAAGTAGTGCCCAGATTTGCAGTAAGTCATTTAGGAGCAAACAGCAGATAATCCCATCTAAACCCAGGTCGTGCCAGTAAGCTAAAGTACTCTGCAGCTATTAGTTCATCACAATAAAATGTCAAATTTAATGAAAAGATTGCGGTGCAAGCAGAGCTATAAATGTGACAAGATGCAGTCTGCAAGTTACTGGGAAAACTTTGAAAGTAACATAGACAGCCTGAAGTAGCCAGTCCCTTTTTGTCACCTTTTCAGTTAGATTTATGGTTGCAGCATCTGTCACGATTTTGCATGATTCTGTTTTTTTCAGAGCATGCACCCTTCTCATTAAAGCAAATGAAAATGTAGAATATTCTTTGACAGAATTAACAATTAGAGATCCGGTTTACAGCAGGAAGTCCAGAACTCTCAGTGCACGTATCATGCATAAAATCACATGAAATGAGGATATTACAGTTTATATACCTTCTTCACCTCTTCTCTCTGTGCATGTTCTGTACACCAATTACTTGTCAAATATCTCCATTCTATAATTGTCGAGAGCTGCAGAATCTGTGGGCGCTATGTAAATGATAGACAGCCTATTACATTACAGCCTAGGGATATCTCTAGTGGCCAAAAGGAAAGAACTGGCACCCCCTAGGGGGACTGTGCCAGGTACGACCTAATAGGGGTTAACCCTCACTAATGTGCTACTACAAAAGAAAAAGAGGGATCCCGTGGGCAAACAACACCCCTGGAGTCACAAAACAGGAAGTCCCTTAAAAGTCCACATATGTGTGCTTAAAACATAACTTTTATTAATCGCTATTGAATAAAAGACCCATGCTGAAAGCGAAGAACAAAGATAAAAGCTGCGCCAAATATAACCGATAGATAAGAGATAGTTAGGTAGTCCAAATATAAATATAAAAATCTTAGCTAAAATAGATATTCCTTAGATCAAATAGTCTGTGCTTTGCTTTATCAGGAGCAATGTTCTCGCTGTCCTTCCTCAGGGTGATCCAATAATATGAAACGATAAAACAGATAAAAGACCAAATGGTGTAATATGTTCACTAGAAGAAGATGGTAATGCACTCACATTTTTTAGAGCTATAGCTAGCTCTAGTATAGAAAGCGTACAGCGGTAAAATCCCCACTTATGGGATATGACGCAACTTTCTTTCTTCAAAGGTGTGTGGACCACTCAAAAAGAATAAAAGGAGACAACCAATAGTGCTCTCTGATTAAAAACGGTATAGAAATAAAATAAGTATAAAATGGTACTCACAAGGATGGAGCAGACAGACTGCTCCTTGGTGATAGCGTAGGTGGAATAATCCCCACCGCGGATTGCTTGGAGTCCAGGATAATAAAAATGCCAGGAATAGAAATAAAATATAAGGTGTATTATAAAGATGATTGGCACAATAAAAAAATTGTCCAAAAAATCTTTAATAAGTGAAATACACAATAAAAATAACCATAAACGCATTTCGCCTAAAAGGCTTTATCAATCTTTATAATAAAAAAGTTTTTTTATTCCATATTGATAAAGCCTTTTAGGCGAAACGCGTTTATGGTTATTTTTATTGTGTATTTTACTTATTAAAGATTTTTTGGACAATTTTTTATTGTGCCAATCATCTTTATAATACACCTTATATTTTACTTTTATTATCCTGGACTCCAAGCAATCTGTGGTGGGGATTATTCCACCTATGCTATCACCAAGGAGCAGTCTGTCTGCTCCATCCTTGTGAGTACCATTTTATACTTATTTTATTTCTATACTGTTTTTAATCAGAGAGCACTATTGGTTGTCTCCTTTTATTCTTTTTGAGTGGTCCACACACCTTTGAAGAAAGAAAGTTGCGTCATATCCCATAAGCGGGGATTATACCGCTGTACGCTTTCTATACTAGAGCTAGCTATAGCTCTAAAAAACGTGAGTGCATTACCATCTTCTTCTAACATTTGTCGTACCCTAGTGAACATATTACACCATTTGGTCTTTTATCTGTCTTATCTTTTCATATTATTGGATCCCCCTGAGGAAGGACAGCGAGAACATTGCTCCTGATCAAGCAAAGCACAGACTATTTGATCTAAGGAATATCTATTTTAGCTAAGATTTTTATATTTATATTTGGACTACCTAACTATCTATTATCTATCGGTTATATTTGGCGCAGCTTTTATCTTTGTTCTTTTGTTGTTGTATTTTAAGGGTTCTGAGGGATTCCCTTTAAAGGCTGCTGCCTCATTTTGTTATTAAGCGCTTACTCTCTCTTTTTGAAAGCTAAGAGTCTAGTGACTAGAACGAACATAAAGATTAAAAAGTAAAAAGAGTGCAGACAGGAGAAAAAAATGAATAATTCACTTGTATATAGGAAGGTTACCCTAATATTGTGGTCACTCGTGGACCCAATAACATCAAAGGGAAGTAACTCCTGTCCTATATATTAATGCCGTAATTAGATGTAGTGGGATAATCTAATATTTGCTGGGAGGCACATGCCCTGTATGAGTAATGTAAGTAGATAGAAAATACAATTGCCCAAATGGCTCCACTTCAATTCTACAACCGTAGATTGCAGGTAGTAGTGATATCCTATTGGGTATCGGTATCAAAATAGAATAACAACCGATAGTTACATGTAGGCAAAAAATACGTAGTGATCAGAGGTCCCTCATACCCTTGTGGCACTATATAAGGCTAAGGTACACTCTTGCCATAATGCTTAATTCCATCTAAATAATAAAGTCCTGTGTGGGCTAAAGAGAGAATCACCTTAGCTATCTAAAAGGAAAGATGAGTGCCTGGGGGGGTACCTGTAAGGGGGAATGTTGGCCCTACAGATGTCAGTAATATCTGTTGACCCTAAATCCACTCCCCCCACCTCCTTTTACCAGGATCCCCGTTAAATCAACTAATTGTCTCGGCTAAACTACGGTTCCTTAAAATAAAATAAAATCATAATTTGAAGAAAATGCCTGTCTGCTTTAAAGCTGCCTGACACGTGTTTCGGCGCTGCTACAGCGCCTTCATCTGAGGCCAAAACAGTGGAGCTGACCTGTCAGAGTTGAATATATGCGGAGAATGGACCAGTGAAAGCTGGGGGTGTGTACGCCCCGTTCGCGCCCAAACCAGCATTCAAACTGGTTACGCCCCCATGATTACGTATCGCTATACAATTGGTGGCCATTAAGTGAATGAGTGTGTGTGTGTGTGTGTATTACCCCGGTGAGTGCCATCCCAATAACGGCCAAACGGATGAATAAAGCTCTGCGGGGAGGAACCCAAAATATAAACTAGCAACTTATGAGTTCAGCGTGTTACAGGCATATCAATATACATTTATGACAGGATATGTCTGCTGGTGGATTATAGGACGTGTGAAGATCCTATCTTGTCTCCACACATTCCACACTTCCAACCATTAAGGGGTGGGTAAGACCTGGGGTTTATGGTCCCTCTGGACACTGAAGGACCCCAATAAATCAGGCTTTATCAGCCTATGGACTGGCATCATTCCAAGATAGCCTTGTTATACAGTACTGATTGAACAAGAGTGTTACCCCTCTTATAACAATTATAACAACAATACTTTATTGTATACGGTAAGTTGGTTATCAAAATCACATCCAGGTAAATGTTCATCTGTTAATAATAACGTCCTGATTCTAAAATATTAGGAAACATATCCAGTACACCTCTTGGTCAAAACTCGAGCTAGTAATGAACCTTCCTCCATGCTATACATATGCACTCAATGACGGTCTATCACATTCACCAATAATTGTGATTGTGTCCATACCTCTCAGCTTGCCCAAGGACAGTGTTTTAGAGTGAAACTGTCAGTCACAAATCAAGAATAGCCATAAAAATGAAGTATTCACAGTGACATATCCTCATATGTGGGCTATATTACATGAGAATAATATAAAAGGTTAGAATAGAACAAGTACTCCTTGTTGGCCTTATTTAGCAATAAAGGGGGTGAATGGAAATCCCTCATTTAGCCCGTTTGGAGCCAGAGTATTAAACCTATATATCCAAAAGGCTTCTCTTTTGAGTAGGGTTTGATCCAAGTCTCCCCCTCTTAAGCCCAAGTGCACCTTTTTTATTCCTGCAAATCTAATGCCTCCTGGATCCCCATGATGGCATGTCCTAATATGTCTTGCCACCGGGGTGTCTTTGAGGTTTCTAACGGAATGTATATGTTCCATGACTCGCCTCTTAAGGGGGCGGATAGTCTTCCCTACATATCTCAGACCACATACACAGGTTAGCAGGTACACGACCCCTTTTGAATTACAATTAAAAAATTGTTTGACCCTACATACAGTCTTATCACCAGAATCGGTGAGTGTTTTGGAGCCCTTGGTCATGTACCTACAGGCCACACACCTGCCACATTGATAGGTGCCCTGTACAGATAGCCAACTTTGTCTAACCTTTTTAGTTGAAAAGTGGCTATGTACCAGAGTCTCTTTCAGGTTTTTTCCCCTTCGTGCTGTGAGAGATACCTGTGGGGTCACCACTCCACTCAAATGGGAATCATGAGACAAAAGGGGCCAGAACCTACCCATAATCCTCTTTGCTTGATCCCACCCTGAATCAAAATTTGCTATACATCTGACGGGCTCTTGTTGGTTGGGTATGGTCCTGTCTTGGAGGAGTTCCGCCCTATCACTTAGAAGCGCTCTCTGATAGGCATATTTCAGACAGCGGTTGGGGTAGCCCCTCTCTTTAAATCTAATTCTCAGTGACTTGGCTTGCTGGATAAACTCCTCCAAAGTCGAACCGTTCCTCCTCAAACGGAGGTACTGTCCGACCGGAATACCAGTGGCGTCTCTAGGATTAATTTTTAGGGGGGGCACATGGAGGGCCAGAGACAAAAGTAGGGGGGCACATTTAACCCCGCCCTCGCCGCAGTTTGACCCTGTCCCTGCCGCATGTTAAGCCCCGCCCCCGACACAATGTGTTTTTTGTTTTGTTTTTCATAATCCCTGGTGGAGAACTCATTATTTTGCACCAAGGATTATTAAAAAACAAACACATTTTCCTTGATACAGTCCATACACACACACACACACACAAACTGCTGAGTCCATGCATACACACACACAGACTGCTGAGTCCTTACAGACACAGAGACTGCTGAGTCCATACACACATACAGACTGCTGAGTCCATACACACACACACACACAGACTGCTGACCATACACACACACACACACACACACACACACACAGACTGCTGAGTCCATATACACACAGACACACAGACTGCTGAGTCCATACAAACACAGACACATTGACTGCTGAGTACACACACACACACACACACAAACAGACTGCTGAGTTCATACAGACACACACAGAGACTGCTGGGTCCATACACACACACACACATACACATACTGCTGAGTCCATACACACAGACTGCTGAGTCCACACACAAATACACACACATACACACACAGACTGCTGAGTTCATACAGACACACACAGACTGCTGGGTCCATATACACACACACACTCACACACACAGACTGCTGAGTCCATACACACACATACACAGACTGCTGAGTCCATACACACACACACAGACTGCTGAGTTCATACAAACACACACACAGACTGCTGGGTCCACACACACACACACACACACACACACACACACAGACTGCTGTGTCCATACACACACATACAGAGACTGCTGAGTCCATGATACACACACACACTGCTGAGTTCATACAGACACACGCACAGACTGCTGGGTCCACACACACACACACACACAGACTGCTGAGTCCATACACACACAGACTGCTGAGTCCATGCACACACAAACACACACAGACTGCTGAGTCCATACATACAGAGACAAACACAGACTGCTGAGTCCATACAAACACATACACACAGACTGCTGAGTCCATACACACACATACACAGACTGCCGAGTCCACACACACACACACAGACAGACTGCTGAGTCCATACACACACAGACTGCCGAGTCCATACACACACAGACACACAGACTGCTGACCACACACACACACACACACAGACTGCTGAGTCCATATACACACAGACACACAGACTGCTGAGTCCATACAAACACAGACACACTGACTGCTGAGTACACACACAAAAACAGACTGCTGAGTTCATACAGACACACACACAGACTGCTGGGTCCATACACACACACACATACACAGACTGCTGAGTCCATACACACAGACTGCTGAGTCCACACACACACACACACACACATACACACACACAGACTGCTGAGTTCATACAGACACACACACAGACTGCTGGGTCCATACACACACACACACACACACACACACAGACTGCTGAGTCCATACACACACATACACAGACTGCTGAGTCCATACACACACACACAGACTGCTGAGTTCATACAAACACACACAGAGACTGCTGGGTCCATGCACACACACACACACACACACAGACTGATGTGTCCATACACACACATACAAAGACTGCTGAGTCCATACACACACTGCTGAGTTCATACAGACACACACACAGACTGCTGGGTCCACACACACACACACAGACTGCTGAGTCCACACACACACATACACAGACTGCTGAGTCCATACACACACACAGACTGCTGAGTGCACACACACACACACACACAGACTGCTGAGTCCATACGCACACACAGACTGCTGAGTGCACACACACACACACACACACAGACTGCTGAGTCCATACACACACACACAGACTGCTGAGTCCATATACACACACAACACACACACACACACACACACAGACTGCTGAGTCCATACACACACAAAGAGACACACAGAGACTGCTGAGTCCATACACACACACACAGACTGCTGAGTCCATACACACACACAGACTGCTGAGTCCATACACACACACACCAAGCCTACCTGTCACTGGGGGCTGTTGCTGGGGGTCAGACATCCATCTTCCATCCTTTCCAGCAGCAGCAAGGTCTGCTACTTAACGGTGGGGCTTATGTGCGGGAGGCGGGGCTTCGTTTGGGGGCGGGGACTCTACCCGGGAGCCTGTCAGTGCTCCCTCCGGCCACAGACAGCCCCCAGCACCTAAGTCCTGCATTCCCTCGGGCTGTCACAGATTGTTACAGCCCAGGGAATATAATTTTAAGCACAGCATATGGCCAGGAAGTTGCCAGCATTTGGGGGTGCACAAGGGGGGCCCCAGCATGATGTGGGGGGCCATGGCCTCCTCTGCCCCCCCCTAGTGATGCCACTGCAGAATACCCCTCTTTAGTGTGGTTGGATGGTGACTTTCCCACCTCAACATGGTGTTAGTAGAGGTGGGTTTCCTAAAAAGTGTGGTCTGGATAATAGATTCATCAGAGATTTTAAAGGTGCAATCTAGAAAGTTAAGGACTGTATGCCCAATTTCCATCGTGAACCTTAGGTTCAAATTATTAGAGTTGAGTCTTTCAACAAAGGCAGTGAAGGAGTCCCCTGTGCCCATCCAGACAACGAGGACATCATCTATATACCTTTTCCATAAAAAGATATATTCAGGATATTCAATATTCTCCTCTGAAAACACCACATTCTCTTCCCACCAACCCAGGATGGGGCATAAGATGGGGCACAAGCCGTACCCATCGCAGTACCCTGCACCTGGTGATAGTATTGGCCATTAAAAAGAAAGAAATTGTGGGTTAACACAAACTCCAACAGTTCCAATACAAGCATTGTATGACGTGAGTGTCTTGACCCTTGTGTCTCTAGGTAGTGCCGACTATGTGCTAGGCCTAGGGAGTGGGGAATTGATGAGTAAAGAGCCTCCACATCAAGGCTACATAGCAGAGCCCCCTCTAGTATGTTGGTAGAAGCTAGACACTTTAAAGTGTCCTTTGTATCCTTTAAATAAGAAGGAAGTTTTTCTACAAAAGGCCGAAGAACTCTATCAATATAGATACTGGCTCTACTTGTCAAGTTGTTTGATCCGGACACAATGGGTCTAGCTGTTAAATGGGTATACTGCTTGTAAACCTTTGGGAGGCAATAGAATGTTGAAACCATCGGTTTTTTTTATGTAAATGTATGCATATTCATCTCTACTCAGAATTCCATCATCGAATACTGAGTCGAGGAGTCGTTTGAGGTCTACCAGAAACTTAGTTGAGGGGTCAGTAGGTAACGTTCTATAAGTTTGACCATCACCAAGTATATTCGTAGCCAAGTGAACATACTGAGGTCTATTCATTACCACAATGTTCCCCCCCTTGTCTGCTGGTTTTATGATGATGTCCTCGTTATCCTGCAGGTCACGGAGGGCCTTCCACTCTCCCCTGGAAAGATTACTGTGTGGTCGGGGTTGTAACAAGTCAATTTTGAGATTTTGTATCATCTTACACGAGGATTCAACAAACATGTCTACTTTTTAATCTTTATGTTCGTTCTAGTCACTAGACTCTTAGCTTTCAGCATGGGTCTTTTATTCAATAGCGATTAATAAAAGTTATGTTTTAAGCACACATATGTGGACTTTCAAGGGACTTCCTGTTTTGTGACTCCAGGGGTGTTGTTTCCCCCTGGGATCCCTCTTTTTCTTTTGTAATATCTCTAGTGGCCACTCCTCAGACAGCTACTAGAGGTGCTTCCTTGGGCAGTGCTGCACAGTGTAGAGCACTGATGTTCAGCGACTCCACGCTCTGCATGGGGACGCTGAACGCTTCCCATAGAGATACAGTGAATCAATGCATCTCTATGGGAACGTATTGTAATTGGCTGAGTTCATCAATTCTGATGATGTCAGCCAAGGAGGTGGATCTGGATAGCGCCTGGAAAAAAGGTCCTGGGGAAAAAAGGTGTTTTTTACTTATTTAGGAGATTTTAACACTATAGGATCAGGAATACATATTTGTATAGTGTTCCGTAAGGTAACTCTCTCCACTGAAATGTTGCACATTGCGAAACTGCATTTTTCTTTCTTTCTTTTTCCTCTTCCTTTCTGTTCTCTTCTTTTTTTTCTTTCTCTCTTCAATTGGTTTTCTTTCCACACCTATCTGTCCTTTCGTGTATTTTCATTTGTTCTTTTCTTTTTAATTTTTTTCCTTTTCGTTCCTTTTTTTTAAATTTGAAATGGTAACATGTCCAAGCAGACTAATAAAATGATAACTAGATCTGTTAAATGTAACCAGTGATTGCAATGGGAAACATTTGTGCCAATCTATAGAAAGTGTATGAGGGGCGCTGTCAGTAGTTCTGATTAATGGGTTCTAGCTCTCTAAATGTGCGCTGTCCTGGGTGCTGAAACATGAATCATTTTATCCTTTCTAGTGTCTACCATGCTGATCTCTGGGTCCTAGACCTGATAATGAACCCAGAATTTCCCTTCCAGACTCCTCTCAATGTCACTCTCACTGTTTCCAGATGCTGTTTTATGTTTCGTTTCTGATGCCAATCTCCAGTGACTTTTCATCATATGAATTTGTATCTCAAGTCTTTGAGATAGTTGGCATTTAGCCGTTTAAAGGTCCATTTCCTGTATTGGAGCTATATGTTTGCTTCCAGACATGTTCCATAATATGAGCAGAAATTAATTAGATAATAATAGTATCATTGAGAACTAGAATATACTTGAAAACTAGCAAAAAGCCAAATACATGCTTACTGCATTATTGCATTGTCTCCTCTGAGTTCTATTCTTGTACGAATCCTCGAAGATGTCATACTGTACTCCTGTCCCGACTGCCGTTTCTCATGCACTCATTATGTGCTCCAGCGTTGCAAACTATGGCCTCCAAATATTACTCAATGACTTGACTTTATGGTTCATCACAGCCTCTGACTCTGCTCCTTCAGCCAAGTGATTTAGGTTTCACGAATACTGTTCTTCAAGTTGGAAGCTCGGAGACTAGAATTGGCATGTTTTCGTAAACGGCGTCATTACTTTCATTGATGTAATTTTATTTCTAAAGTCTTGTGCTGTGTACAGCAAATAAGTCGTGTTGTTTATTTGATTACACCACAAATAAATTGGATTCCTCACAAACCGTTGACGTTATGCACAAATTTATATTCATTTCCCCTTATTACATCCTAGCTGAGAGCATCTGTAAGGCGATTCTTGCCCAGACATCGTGGCACAGTTCAGTATAATGTTTATGTCTATGTGACTGTTTACACGTTTGTAGCATCTCCTGTGAGATTTCAAAGGCTGATCTGTCACTTTAATGTTACAAGTGACTCACCTCTGAACGTCTTCGTTTGGTCATCAGTCCCTTTCATCCGCCCCATTATGGTTTTAAAAATACACACAGGGGAAAATGTCTGCTTGATAAGAGCCTGACTGATTCTTAACATAACTGGGACTTCTGCCAAGGGTATCTGTATATTTACATAAACATACTCGAAATGTTTCATGAGAAAGACAGAAAGGGATAGAAACTGTTTTAGAAAAAAAGAGAGAAGGAAAAGGGAAAATTCAAAGTGAATTACAAATGTAAAGTCAAAATAACAGAATTGACTTAGAGAGTGTTTCTGATTCAGCTAGCGTGGCCTAAACAATTAGATGCACAATAAAACATGTATATAGATATAAATGTTTTTTTATTATTTTTTGTTTTTATTAAAAACACAGATACACTTAAGTTTATTCCAGTGGCGAACATTCTCATCACTACAGGGTGATGCTCCCTGGCAAAAGTCTAAAATGTCATGATTTTTGTCAAATCTGATGCATCTTAGAAAAACTGCGTATGTGCGGCAATTGCTGTGATCAACCAATTCAATATTGGGCAAACAAAATATCCTGCATCCACTTACTTTAAATATTCAATTATTGAATTTATTTGTGTTGGAAGAATCAGAGACAAAACTGTTTTCATTTGCACGTCTGCAAGGGCAGCAAATCTGCTCCCAAATGACTTTATTGAAATGAAGTGATATTAGTGTTTAGCCCGTCTCTTTAAAATAATCCCATATTTACACAATGAGAATTTTTAAAGCAGAACAATTAAAAATAAATAAATAAGTAAAATAACAAGCAGCACAGAATCATATTTTAATTATGACAACAAAAACATTTATATACAATGTAAGAACTAAATGAAAGAAATATTCTTGTGGGTTTTACAAAATTGCCAAATTATTGTGTCCAGGACAAGGTAACCACAGAATTGCCACCGCTGAACAACAACCCCTATGGTCTTATCCTGTCTGTACTGGCTTTGGTAGCTAATTTAATGTAAACGCTACAGAGCTTTGGGAATCCATCCTAGTTTCTTATCCTTAACCTGCAATTGATTTGGTGCATCAAGATACCCTTTTTTAATAAATAAGTATATATTTTGGTATTTACCAAACATGAAGTATTCTTTTAAGGGACACTAGAATCAAATATATGTTTCTTTAACAGCTCTGATCTATTAAATTTAAGTAGGTGAACATGTTTTATAATTATTATTATTATTATTATTACTATTTATTTTTTAAGTTTTGCTGCCAGAAACATAAAGAAGGAATAGTCAAAATACACATAGGAGCAAGCAGCAGAAAATTTTCGATTTAAACAGACGAGGACAAACGGCTAAATTAAAAACACTAAAAACATTAAATCCTCTTAGCGCAGTACGATAAAGAATGGCCGGGAGTTCCCATACCATTAGAACACTTGTAATGCAATAAAGCCCATCTTCGCTCTTATTAACAATTAAGACAGATACCGGTCAAAGTGTAATGTTTTCCCTTTAATTACGAAGCAGAGGAGTAGATGATGACAAAAGAGAGATTTATCAAAGTGTTTTAAAAAGTGGTCTAAAATACTAGAAGTGGGCAGTCACCATAGAAACCAGTGGACTAAGCAGACATATTCCATTGGTGACTCTTCACCAATATTCCATTTTTGCAGAACTTTATAGTACAGAACGCATTGATAAATCTCCCCCAGATGTGTCTGAAGATTGAATGGCAGTAAATGACGAATTTGAAAGAAACAGCAAATTACAATTGAAGAAGAGGGACTGTCCGCAAATCTACATCTAGCAATCGCCGGGCTATGAAGCTCTACCCACGCCACAAAAATACTGCGGGAAACGTTCCCAGCTTATTTCTTTATTTAAAGGAACATTATAAAGTATACAAAAGTGTATTCCTAACGCTATCGTGTCCCTTTGTGCCCCCCACCCTTACAATCTGCATGGGTGAAAGACCCTAAAATCACTTACCTGATTCCAGTGCCACTCTCCCTCTGTGCTGGGTAGATGCTCTGCCTCCTGCTTCAATGCTTTCCTATGGAATTTAACTGACGCTGGAAGTCCTCATACAGAGCGCGAGGACGTCCAGCGTCAGTTAGGCGGCCAAAAGTCGCTTAACCACCAGAAAATGCCTCTTGTTCCTGTCTGACAGCCACTAGAGGCAGTCTTAGTCCGGCAAGGTAGTTATTACAGTTTCTCTAATACTACAATGATTTCCATTGCAGGAATAAGGGGGATAGGGACAATGCACCCAGATCACTTCAATGAGCTGAAATGACCTGGGTGACTATAGTGTCCTTTTAAGCAGACTGATTAATATGCTTTGAGATAGGGTGATTTTTTTTTATTTGTAATGGTCTTAGTATTTGAAGCTTCTGGTTTAACCGATCAATCACAATTTAAATCCATGATAAGTTTTCAGAGCATCAGATCTTTGCAATTTGAATTCTACCCAGCATTGATACACCGAGCAAGAGAACATGTTCTATTCTTCTGTGACATATTGCCATCTCTTTATGGAACAGTAAATTATCGGAGGCTGTAAATGTCATAGTGGATTGAAAGCCAAGGCTTAAACCCACGAATATTAATGAATGTTTCTGATTGTAAACCAGGGTGTGCAGGAGAAATATATATCACGGCAGTGGAGTTAAAGAGACAAAGAACCAAAAGTCCAAAACCACAACAACCCCGAACTGTATCGAGGGAATGAGAGATCTACTTTTTTTCATAGTTCAATATGCCTGACAAACTGAATATTCTTTGCTTAGGCATGTTGTGTGAGTGTATGTGGGTAGCCTATCTATAATATTGTGTTCAAGATTGTGATTGTGTTGCTGGGAATGGTGGGGTGGCAGTTAAAAAAAAAATATGACTGTTGGTCAAAGATTGTATGTTTTAATTAGAAGGCATTTGAACCTGTTTCAGGATACTCTTACCTCATAATAGATTCAATTACTTGCCTACCTATTTTCACCTACCTGATACCATTTGTCATTTATTTAAGGATATCAATAGCTTCACAGGAATCCCACATCAGCAAGATCCTTTTCAGTGTTTCCCAACCCAGTCCTCAAGGCACACCTACCAGTCCAGGATTTAGGGATTACCCAGTTGTGTCTAAGGTGTTTTTACAAAGAAGAAAAAAAACACCTTAGACACAACTGGGTAATCCCTAAATCCTGGACTGGTAGGTGTGCCTTGAGGACTGGGTTGGGAAACACTGCTTTATGTCATGCCCAGCATGCATAACTCATTGTTGCACTATAGAAATATTGTTATTAAATGGGACGTGCGGAGTGTATACATGGAATGATTACCTCGTAGAGGAGGTATATCTGATTACAGCATTGTCAGGGTTAGTATGGTTGTATAGGAATGTGTTACGTGTTAGATCACAGGGCAAGATTTGAAAAATAAATTCTCCCTTTGAAGCCAGGCACCCATCTGTGTCCCTCTGGCCAGGTGTGAAATCATGCACCCCATTGGACGTTCATGTCTATGTCCTGTCAGAAGTTCTTATTAAGAAAATACTGAGCTGGTTACCAAAACACACCGTGCTCCAGCAAATTATATAAATCATTGCAGCTTTATTAGTGTGAACAATAGCATAACGAATTGCACCATGGGGGAGGGTGCCAAAGCCTTACTCGTTCCAGACCCTGAGGTCTATGGGGAAGATGATCTCATCTAACAATTCGCCTCTTTCAAAACTCCCTCGTGGTACTATCTTATCTAAATTTGGGGTGCATACTTCCCTCTGTTCTACGAGTCTGTGACTTCAGGACCTTTATTGAGGTGGGGCGACCTTGCTCTGGACAAAGTTTGGGTTGTGGAAGAAGAGAAATCTGAGAAATTTACACAATAATATTGATAAAGTTATCAGGAATGCAGACATGGAAGGGAAATTGTGGATAAGGAATCTTGGAGAATTTTAACTGACACTACCTACTGGTATTAGGTTCTTAGTTTTGATGCAACCTTCAATTTTGATAAAGAGTTGCAAGTACTAATAGACCGTAACCATTCACAATACATTGTACAAATGAGTAAAAATTATTTTATTTAAAATCCCTTGACAAACCCAGTGAAACCCAGTGAAACCCAGTGCCCCATAATATCCTTTATTTTATGACGCACATTCCAACTTTCTAAATCGACAGACTTCAACCTTCAACGGTATGTCATTCACTTACATATATTAGAGAATCTGACATATCCTTGAATGCCTAGCAGATATAGAGTGGAGTCCTGATTATTTATGAATCACAGCAGAAGTCAGTGCTCTGTATAACAAGAGAGATAATAAATTATGCATAATCACTGTACATCATGTTTTATTTAATGACCCACCAAGGCCGGATTCCCTATTAGACCGAATAGGAACATGTAGAGGGAGCCTATTTACAGCATTTATAATGTGTCTTTTTGGAGGTCAGGTGGGCTGACGGAGAGAGATAAGTACCAGAAGCACTGGCCAGTGTCCTCTGTAGTCCAGTCAGCCTCCTATGTTTGATAGCAGAGCTGCAGGTACAGTTATAGAGGGAGTAAAACTCAGTGCTAGCTCAGTGCTATCTGCACGTAGAACACATAGGGGCCTATTCACTCGCTATCTGCACGTAGAACACATAGGGGCTTATTCACTCATTATCTGCACGTAGAACACATAGGGGATTATTCACTCACTATCTGCATGTAGAACACATAGGGGCTTATTCACTCATTATCTGCACGTAGAACACATAGGGGCTTATTCACTCATTATCTGCACGTAGAACACATAGGGGCTTATTCACTCATTATCTGCACGTAGAACACATAGGGGCTTATTAACTCACTATCTGCATGTGGAACACATAGGGGCTTATTAACTCATTATCTGCATGTAGAACACATAGGGGCTTATTAACTCATTATCTGCATGTGGAACACATAGGGGCTTATTCACTCATTATCTGCACGTAGAACACATAGGGGCTTATTCACTCACTATCTGCATGTGGAACACATAGGGGCTTATTCACTCACTGCATCTGCATGTAGAACACATAGGGGCTTATTCACTCACTATCTGCATGTGGAACACATAGGGGCTTATTCACTCACTGTCTGCATGTGGAACACATAGGGGCTTATTCACTCATTATCTGCACGTAGAACACATAGGGACTTATTCACTCATTATCTGCATGTGGAACACATAGGGGCTTATTAACTCATTATCTGCATGTGGAACACATAGGGGCTTATTCACTCACTATCTGCATGTGGAACACATAGGGGCTTATTCACTCACTATCTGCATGTAGAACACATAGGGGCTTATTCACTCACTATCTGCATGTGGAACACATAGGGGCTTATTCACTCACTATCTGCACGTAGAACACATAGGGGCTTATTCACTCACTATCTGCACGTAGAACACATAGGGGCTTATTCACTCACTATCTGCATGTGGAACACATAGGGGCTTATTCACTCATTATCTGCACGTAGAACACATAGGGGCTTATTCACTCACTATCTGCATGTGGAACACATAGGGGCTTATTCACTCACTGTCTGCATGTGGAACACATAGGGGCTTATTCACTCATTATCTGCACGTAGAACACATAGGGGCTTACTCACACAGTGTGTTCTGTTAAACTAGCAACAAAATAGCAGTATTTAGGGCACATTGTGTAGACATTTAAATATATTATGGGAAATGTAAATATCACCCGTGTGATGTAAATGTCTGCAATTAAGATTATACAATAGCAAATCTTCTGTTCAATCAGTAAGCAAAACATGGCAGATCAATAATATTTAAACAAATGGGTTGCATAGACATAAATGTGGTCAAAGCCTCTAATGAAAGGCAACCATTAAATGGGAAAACTCACCTTTATTCCAGCGCCGCGCAGGTCTGATGGTGCTCGCTCCGCCCCTGCCCTGCCTCCTGCCTGAGACCATCAGAATTTCCTATGGGAATGCGCTGGATTGACTGAGATTGTCAATTCTGATGATCGCAGCCAATTAGGCGGGGACAGAGCCAAACACCACGTCTGCTAATCAGCCAAAGTTCAGTGTTTCCATGCAGAGCGTGGAGACGCAAAACGTTAGTGCTGCACAACCCAGTAGGCACCTATAGTGGTTTTCTGAGTGACTGCCACTAGAGGTGTCCCTAGGCAGCAATGTAAACACTGCCTTTTCTCTGAAAGAGAAGTGTTTACATTAAAAAGTCTTCAGCGACTGACTATACTCACCAGAACAACTACATTAAGCTGTAGTTGTTTTGGTGACTATAATGCCCCTTTAATTTTTAAGGAGGCAAGCTTATATTTGTGGTATAGTAAGATTGTGTCTTAATTTTTTTACCAAGATGATCTATCATAAATACCAAATAGCTGAATGATGTGGATATCAAAACTTAATGGAAAAATTTACACAGTTGCTATGGTAAAAAAATAAACAAGCCCTTCCGTGTTGTCATGGTGATACATAAACTATGAGGACAGAATAAACAGCATAATGGATTAAATAAAATACATATAACACAAGATGAAATGTGATACATGCATGGACATAAATATAGTAATAAGAAAGCCATAGATAGAGCAGGTGGTCTTAGCTCAGTCCAATGTGAAGTACGGATCCTAATTTAAAGTCCTCTGGAATTGTTGTATTGATACGTGAAACAATGCAATAGAGTGTATATTGGTAGCATACCGCTGCCTTTATTTACAAGTGTAATGTCAATTGGAGAAAAGAACATACAACGAGCAATCTCAGCTACAAGCTACTGCCGAGAAAAACAAACACCCCTTGCTACAAAAATACCACATTGGCATTTTGTGGACCATAGCTACAAGGTGAATTCATTAACACTTAAGACGTTTTCTTTAAAAATGTCAGACCTATGGTGTATGTAGTGCCTATAATTAAGATGGAATACTTAGAATACAGACAAAGCGATGTCTTAAAGCACTCAGAAGGGGATTACATCTTGTCGACTGTCTGGGACCTGTGCATTTAAGGAGTTGTATTCCCCTCAACCTCTATTTTCTTTACCCTTCTGCAAGCCACTTTTCCATAACTTTTTGATATGACCTAACCAAACTACAAAATTGTTTTGAGGCGTGCTCTCAAGGCCTGGACTTGTCCACTCAGATATTTCCTTGGTTCTGTGAATTTACTGTTCAGAAACTCCTCATTGATTTGTACTTGTCCCCCCAGGCCAAATGTTATCCTTTTTTAACTGTTAATGTGTATTAAGAATTTTTCTGAATGTCCCTGTGTTAATGTACATCTTTTCTCGGAAGTTCCACAAAAAAACTTTCCTGGGGAAAATATATAGATAACAAGTAATAAAAATAGTTTTTAGAAGGGCTCTGATGGGCTTCAAAACGTAGAACTGTGACAAGTAATAGACGTGAAAATGTATCTATTTAGGACTATGCTAAGCCAGTCAGTTGGCAATTGAGCATGCAATGTACAACTGCCTTGATGTCGAAAACATTCGTCTTAGCTGAGTGTGTATAACAGATGGAAGGCTAAAGTTCATTTGCTCGTTGGCTTTACTTGAACAGGTGCTGTGATTTTGTATTTTATTTCTTTACAAAGAGACTCAGATATGGGTGATGCGATAGTCATCTCTTGTGCAAACCGCGTAATAATGAGCTGCTCTGATAAGGAGTTAGACCTGCACAGCTTTTTCCATCATGCGATTCATCCCGTCTGCTGCTGGTAATTAAAACCTCCAGGAGAGAAAGTGCGCTGTTTAAAAATAAACAGATACAGATTAACATCGTTTCCCGAATGCAAGCTGAATGACTACGTTTCGGAGAGACCTCTGTCAAAAGTCCCCATGGGTGAAAATTATAGCTTGCCAAATTGGTTGATGTGGAGCGTAAACAGGAACCTATTACCGGTAATTGGTTTGGAGTAGAAAACCAGATTTTTCCATCTTGTCAACACAACAGCACAGGGGGTTTATTTCCTAAATACGGAAATGTGCCGACTTGGCAAACAACGAGCTTATCCTCCCCATTGAGCCTATGTAAGTGCCATCTTACTAAACCCAGCCATTCGGCTCTGCATTTAACCTGTAGAGTTTATTGTAAAATTAGAATAAGAAAAAAACACTTACATCCCTTTAGTAGCTCTTATAGAGTGTGCTGACAAAGAAGGGCGTTAAACATATATAATGCTGTTTAAGTGTCTGTGTGTTAGTAATGTATTCACTAGAGTGCTGCTTTGTTGCACTAACAATATAGTGTTTCTAGAAAAAACTGGGCATTAGGATAGAAAAGAGGGACAGAGGGATTTTGGCTCAAAGTAGGGACTCTCCTTCCTTGGGAGGTATAGTGCAGGGTACACCACTGGACTCAACAGTGCTATAACTGTATCACTGTTACATTATAATTATAGTTTAACATTTCATGGATAAATTTGATAGCAGTTTGCTAACACAATGTGAAAATGACATCTATCCTCTTTATACTTTTACTTGCTTGATAGGTGCACATACATGCAAACACACCTAACGTGCATGTGTTTGATCAATGTAACATACATAAAACTTACAGAACACACATAAAGCATATATTTCGGAATAATAACATACACACAACATTTAACCTATTGACAAATAAAACTTTGGGGTCGCGGCCTCAACCACATGGCGGATGGACGCGTTGTGAGAGAGCTCCTGCTTTAGTTTGAATAATACGCTCTTATAGCCCACTCACAATGCCCTATCGTGAATCCCACAGACTCGGGCAGAGGAGCGGAGTCCTCCGTGGTGCCCCACAGCAGGGACATCCCTGGGATGCCGGTGAGGCCCTGCACACTCGGAAGTCGGGAGGTGGACGATTTCCCGAACCATGAGCCGAGACTTCAAGTCTGTGGACTAAAGCTACCCAGTAACCCCCCCCCCCCCGCGCTTTGGATCGGCGGGGCCAGAGGCGTAACTACAAACCACAGGGCCCCAGTGCAAATTTTTCCCTCGGGCCCCCTCTATAGGTTTACCCCCTTCTCATACATCTACTTCCCCCCCAGAGGTCTCCCCACCTAAACGTCTACTTCCTCCTGTAGGTCTTCTTCTCCCCTCCCCCCATATATCCATGCCCCTCCCCACACACACATGCAGGCAAACAGATACACATGCAGACACACATACAGGCACACACACACATACATACATACATACACATACAGACACATACGGACACATACATATACACACACACACATAAATACACTCAGACATACACACACAGAGACACATACACACACATACATACAGACACACATGCACACATACAAAGAAACATACATACAGACACACATACACAAACTCACACACACACATATAGAGACACATACATACAGACACACATACAGAGACATACATACAGACACACATACAGAGACACACATGCAAAATGTTTAAGTCACCCTCCTGTTTCCTACCTTTTAGATGCAGGAGGGTGACTTTTCATGGTTTCCAGTGGTGGCTCAGGCTGATGGGAGTCTCCTTTCTTCAGCGCAGCTCTTTCTGATAGCTGGAAGGATTGACCGGGGCAGTCACTTCCTCCCAGCATCTGACATCATCACAGGGGGCTTGGTTGCGCTGTTAAAGTAGAGCTGACCGAGGCTCTCTGGATATTCATGGGCCACCCGATGGACACCTTCAATGCGGCCCCGAGGCCACAATACATGGTGGTGGGCACCTGGTCGCAGGGGTCTGCAGGGTGGCAGTGATAGGCCCAGTCGTAGCTGCGACCCCTGTGTTGAATATATGTGTTGCTTAGCTTGCGAAATGCTGTGGGGGCACCTCAAGCATGTTGTACACTTTTGCACCACTTATGCGCACTTGAATACGGCTCAGAATGCCAAATTCGCCAGACCGATCTTATGACGCCTGTAAGCAGTCTATAGGGCTTTTGTACCATCCACGAATCATATAAAATTCTAGGATGACGTAGGCTAATAGGAATGAAGTCCATATGATTTATACTCGCCTCTCTCACTACATGTTACCTTGTTGTGGTTCTATTTAACCCAATAGTGCGTTTTTATGTATCCTTATTCTGGTATCTGATTCTTGGATTGTTTAACGTACTCATTTGATCTCGACTAGTTTACTGTTATCCAGTTTTCTCCTATCCTTGATCCCGGCTATTCTCTCTAACATTGTCCATCATCAGTCCGGCCACTCTAAGGACTGGTACACGGAAAGTCCATTTGCTGTGATATAGGTCTGTACATTAAGGTTCCTACACTTTCCTGTCAAAAAGAAAATCTATATACATTCACATGTTAAAAAAATTCAGTAAGATTTCGAATAGATGCATGCCGACCTTTGATGTGTTTGTCATGTAGCTCATTATCTTTGACAGCTTTCAAATAGACTTATCTCTATCGAGTTACGCCTTTTGTTTTGTTGCTGGGTTTGTTATTTCTCTGCACAATCTGATAACTAACTGAAAGTTTGCTGTTTGTTGTGTTTTTTTCTTTCTAGTTTATATTTTATAATTCGCATCTCTTATCCTGGTATCCTGGCACAGAAATACACAAATCTCTACTAGAACTGATATCCTTCATCTTTAATTTTTGTTGGCCATCATTACAAATTTTGCCCTTTTCGGCTATGGAACATAGTGGAAGAGGAAAAACTAAACATGGATTCAGTTCTCCTAATTTGCATTGCGTGCCCTAGCTGTGCCTTGATTGTACTGGGTTCTGATGGCACATACTAAAATTTTAAGAAGCATTTTAAATTGAACCTGTTGTCAAAACAGTCAACTTACCTTAAATTGCTCCCATATAAATTGAATACGTTGTATATCAAATACATAATGCACTGAATGTAAAATATAGAGAAATACTTATCTTTCCCCTGTTCCAGCGCCACCATCTTCAAGCTTCATGGGCATTACACTTTATGTAAAACCCATCTTCTTACAATTTCTGAATATATTATATTACTTTTTATAATTTCCCTCACTAGACATTATGTACATTAAATTTGATTGTATTTAGATAATGCCCAAGTATCAATGAAAGCCCCAGGAGATCTGACAGTTTTGCACCTTCTAACTTTTGCAATTTCTTTGTCAATATTCTACAAATTCCATTTTAGTAAATAATTCCATTTATGTAGAATCCATAGTCCAAAATATTATGTTTTTCAGGCCTTGACATATTTACGTTTCCTTTCCTTTGAGCGGCTATAAGGCACTAGGTGAAAATGGACCATTTTAGCAATTGGAAAATGGAATTGGGAAAAACCTCCACTAAGGGTCAGGACTGCTTCTAAAGTACCAGGGGTGATACTGCACTGACATTGTATTCAGGGGAGGAGAGATGAAACTCCGAGATATGACTGTGCTGCAAGAATTGCAAACAAATTATATATTGAGAGAGGAATGGAATTTACATTTCACAAATTAAATATTTTCTCCTAACATAAGGATGGACCTTCCCTTTATATAAATTTACATATGGTGCTTGTATTTTCATTATAAATATTGAAAAGCATTTATTTTTGGTTTGTTTATTTTTAAACCTAATGCTGATCATGACGTTTCACCCCCCTGTTTTCGAGGTTTGTTCGCCAGCAGTGAGAGAGTTAATGTATGCAATATGTATAGGTCCCCCCATCTCTTCTATAGTGCTTTGCCAGTCAGTGACCTGTATCTGCTGTTCACCTGTCTCAGGGAGCCTGCAGCTGATAACTAGCTCAGCCAAGCAGAACTTCATTTCAATCTGCAGTGGCTGCTGCCTGGGTTCTTAAAGGGACACCGTAGGCTCTGTATCTGCTTCATCTCATTAAACTGGTTATAGTGTATGGAGTCCCCTGGTGCCATCATTTCTTTCAGCATTAAACAGTTTTTAATGTTGTAATGTTTTAATGCTAAACAAGACACCACGGCAGTCCAATACCTCTGTGTTGCGTTGGCTAATAAGGAAGTATTACCCTGAGCAGCAATGGGCAGCTGTGATTGGCTGAGAGTGTCAGCTGAATGATTTTAGCCTGTCAGAGTTCCAACTGACGGTATGAATGGGTATGACAACTAGGAAGTGTGTAATCTCTGCCTTAGCTACAGATACAGAAGGGGCCGGACTGTGGGTGGCCAGGGACTCTTATTTTGTGGCATACTGCACAAACATGGTGCAACACTGAATGGAGGGACAGTACCAGGGCACTCCAGGCACTATAACCAATTCAAAGAGACAAAGTGGTTGTAGTGACTACAGTGTCCCTTTAAATAGGGTAATAACCTGAGCGTGGGCTCTGCCTGAATTAAACATAAACTCACCAGTTAATCCCAATCCCTGTCTGTGTGACGGCCATTCCTCGGGATTGTGGTGTGTATTGATTGGTTCTGTTAAAAATAATAAATATCTGTGTTTATGCCCCGTAAATGTTTAACGTTTACAATCTACAGACTGAAGTAGTTAAAGGAACACTCTTTGCACCAAAATATTGATGCAGTGGTTTTGGTGCACAGATGCTGTTCTTTACCTCTGACAATGTAAATCATTGCTGTTTGTTAGAAATGGCAATGTTTACATTTGTCATAGAAGACTTCTCTAATGATTATCAGAATGACAGATACTAGAGGCGCTTCCTTATGAAGACTTTTAAATAAAGGTCTTCACATTCTGTGACATCACCCTCGCTGTGCCTCTCACAGTAAAAGCACCGAATTCGATGCTTCTCTATAAGAATTTGATTGGTGGTGCTGTGGCTATTACCACGGATGAGTTGCAGGTCTCCAAAGTTCCTTTTTGAGAAGCATCGAATTCTACAAAGATCATCACAGCTCATGACCATAGGTCAGTTTAACAGCAAAAAAAACCCAATTCTAATTCTAAGATATAAATTTAACCACTGAAATTACAAAGTTATCTAGGTTAAAACATTTCACACATTTCTTTCTGCTGTTGAAAGAGGCCTACATCCATGTGTTTACACAGAGCAGCAATTGGCACCTCATGCATTAAACATGAAAATCACGCCATATGTGAGATGGTAGTCCATGGCTACCAGATATGATTGACAGCATATGATGTATGCAATCACCCTTTAAAGCTATCACACTAAAAAGGATCCTTATAGGAAATATAACATGTGCAACATGTTGACAACACTGTTGTCAGCAGAATTGAAATTGGAAAAGTAGTATAGAAAGGACTGGAGGACCAATGTCAGAGATCTAGAGGCAATTATAGCATTTTATAGGACAAATATATTTATAGGACTCAGTATTGTTCTATACAGTGAATAGATTGTGCACTGCCTAACTACTGCACTTACTGCACATCATCTAATATAACCTGTAAAGTGCTGAGTACACCTGTTAGTACTATATAAATAAAATATATATACACTGTATACATAATGCACTTACTGTACCTCCCTCTACTGTAATATAACCTGTAAAGTGCTGAGTACGCCTGCTAGCGCTATATAAATAAAATATACATACACTGTATACCTACTGCACCTCCCTCTACTGTAATGTAACCTGTAAAGTGCTGAGTACACTTGTTAGTGCTATATATATATATAAAATATACATACACTGTATACCTACTGAACTTACTCTACCCCCCTCTACTGTAATGTAACCTGCCAAGTGCTGAGTACACCTGTTAGCGCTATATAAATAAAATATGCATTTACTGTATACCTACTGCACTTACTGCACCTCCCTCTACTGTAATGTAACCTGTAAAGTGCTGAGTACACCTATTAAATAAAATCTACACACACTGTATACCTACTGCACTTACTGTGCCTCCCACTACTGTAATTTAACCTGTAAAGTGCTGAGTACACCTGTTTGCGCTATATAAATAAAATATACATACACTGTATACCTACTGCACTTACTGTACCTCCCTCTACTGTAATATAACCTGTAAAGTGCTGAGTACACCTGTTAGCGCTATATAAATAAAACATACATACACTGTATACCTACTGCACTTACTGTACCTCCCTCTAATGTAATGTAACCTGTAAAGTGCTGAGTACACCTGTTAGCGCTATATAAATAAAATATACATACACTGTATACCTACTGCACTTACTGTACCTCCCTCTCCTGTAATGTAACCTGTAAAGTGCTGAGTACACCTGTTAGCGCTATATAAATAAAACATACATACACTGTATACCTACTGCACTTACTGTACCTCCCTCTACTGTAATGTAACCTGTAAAGTGCTGAGTACACCTGTTAGCGCTATATAAATAAAACATACATACACTGTATACCTACTGCACTTACTGTACCTCCCTCTACTGTAATGTAACCTGTAAAGTGCTGAGTACACCTGTTAGTGCTATATAATAAACTATTCATTCACTGTATACCTTCTGCACTTACTGTACCTCCCTCTACTGTAATGTAACCTGTAAAGTGCTGAGTACACCTGTTAGTGCTATATAAATAAAATATACATACACTGTATACCTACTGCACCTCCCTCTACTGTAATGTAACCTGTAAAGTGCTGAGTACACTTGTTAGTGCTATATATATATATCTAAAATATACATACACTGTATACCTACTGAACTTACTCTACCCCCCTCTACTGTAATGTAACCTGCCAAGTGCTGAGTACACCTGTTAGCGCTATATAAATAAAATATGCATTTACTGTATACCTACTGCACTTACTGCACCTCCCTCTACTGTAATGTAACCTGTAAAGTGCTGAGTACACCTATTAAATAAAATCTACACACACTGTATACCTACTGCACTTACTGTGCCTCCCACTACTGTAATTTAACCTGTAAAGTGCTGAGTACACCTGTTTGCGCTATATAAATAAAATATACATACACTGTATACCTACTGCACTTACTGTACCTCCCTCTCCTGTAATGTAACCTGTAAAGTGCTGAGTACACCTGTTAGCGCTATATAAATAAAACATACATACACTGTATACCTACTGCACTTACTGTACCCCCCTCTCCTGTAATGTAACCTGTAAAGTGCTGAGTACACCTGTTAGCGCTATATAAATAAAATATACATACACTGTATACCTACTGCACTTACTGTACCTCCCTCTCCTGTAATGTAACCTGTAAAGTGCTGAGTACACCTGTTAGCGCTATGTAAATAAAACATACATACACTGTATACCTACTGCACTTACTGTACCTCCCTCTACTGTAATGTAACCTGTATAGTGCTGAGTACACCTGTTAGTGCTATATAAATAAAATATACATACACTGTATACCTACTGCACTTACTGTACCTCCCTCTACTGTAATGTAACCTGTAAAGTGCTGAGTACACCTGTTAGCGCTATATAAATATAATATACATACACTGTATACCTACTGCACTTACTGTATCTCCCTCTACTGTAATGTAACCTGTAAAGTGCTGAGTACACCTGTTAGCACTATATAAATAAAATATACATACACTGTATACTTACTGTACCTCCCTCTACTGTAATGTAACCTGTAAAGTGCTGAGTACACCTGTTAGCGCTATATAAATAAAATATACATACACTGTATACCTACTGCACTTACTGTACCTCCCTCTACTGTAATGTAACCTGTAAAGTGCTGAGTACACCTGTTAGCGCTATATAAATAAAACATACATACACTGTATACCTACTGCACTTACTGTACCTCCCTCTACTGTAATGTAACCTGTAAAGTGCTGAGTACACCTGTTAGTGCTATATAAATAAATATACATACACTGTATACCTACTGCACTTACTGTACCTCCCTCTACTGTAATGTAACCTGTAAAGTGCTGAGTACACCTGTTAGTGCTATATAAATAAAATATACATACACTGTATACCTACTGCACTTACTGTACCTCCCTCTACTGTAATGTAATCTGTAATGTTCTGAGTACACCTGTTAGCGCTATATAAATAAAACATACATACACTGTATACCTACTGCACTTACTGTACCTCCCTCTACTGTAATGTAACCTGTAAAGTGCTGAGTACACCTGTTAGTGCTATATAAATAAAACATACATACACTGTATACCTACTGCACTTACTGTACCTCCCTCTACTGTAATGTAACAAGTAAAGTGCTGAGTACACCTGTTAGTGCTATATAATAAACTATTCATTCACTGTATACCTTCTGCACTTACTATACCTCCCTCTACTGTAATGTAACCTGTAAAGTGCTGAGTACACCTGTTAGTGCTATATAAATAAAATATACATACACTGTATACCTACTGCACTTACTGTACCTCCCTCTACTGTAATGTAACCTGTAATGTTCTGAGTACACCTGTTAGCGCTATATAAATAAAATATACATACACTGTATACCTACTGCACTTACTGTACCTCCCTCTAATGTAATATAACCTGTAAAGTTAGAGTTATGTTATGTATTACAATGAATGTATACTGTTATAGGAATTGGTGCGTGTAATTTCTTACTGTATCTGCTAGTTCTACGAATGGAGTTTGATCGCACAGATAGGTAATGGCAGGAGTGTATTGCTTTTTATGTTCTCATAGTTCTACGACTGTCATTGTGTTATTTTAGGATTGTTATTATGAAGCACGTCATGTGTGAGATTATTAGTGGAGTTTTGACAGATCCCGAGGTGCAGTTGTTATGGGAACAGATACGATTGCCTTTCTACCAGGTGCCGCTGGTGATATGGAACCGATAAGGAGCTTTGACGTCAGCTGGGTCAGTGTGACTGCAGCATGTCTCTATCAGCGACCCATCACTCATTTAATATGATGTATAGGCTTTGAGTCACAGCTAATCCCCCTTCTCATCCGTGCTAACCGATCGCTTTGAGCCTGGAGCAGCTGGCACGGCTAAAAATAAACTCCAAGCCATTTATTTAGGAACTCACCCATAAAACACCTTCTCTGCACCATTAACCACCTACATGCTGTGATGCCCAGCTACTGCTTCATTGCTACAAGTTACACGTTTTAGCCCATCGTCATGTAGTTATATGGTTCTCAGGTGTAACGTTTCTCAAAAAAATCCACGCAATTCTACATTGGAAGCAACCATATTATCCTGTTATAAACAGTAAATTGTTATTTACTAAATTGTCTGGAAAGTAAAAGTGAATTAAACAAAATTGAATTCTCAAAGTCAGATATGTTTTCAGTGTGAATTTTCTGAAATTCAAACTGATTTTTAGATTTTAGGCCACAGTTGACAAACATTAGTGAGTAACCTTGTATATATGTTGAACAGGTCGCCGATAACGGACAGGATAGGGCTAATAAAATGCAGCACTATAATGCATGATTGCAGTATAAAAATCAATTAAATAATCAAAGCGGTTCTTTTGGAATTTTTTCTTGATTTGTGAATTGATATTCTTGTTGCACCAGAGATAATCTATAGACTGCAGTATTTTTAATGTATTGCTATTAATATGAATAAGTAACACGTGTCAACAAAAGCACTGGGTCTTATTATTTACTAAACAGTGAATCGTAGCAAAGTGAAAACCAAAATGGTGACTATAGTGGAGTTGGATAGTTTTATTTTTTGAATTAGCACATTTTGGCTAGATGTTGAAATTTCACGCCTTCCAACATTTCAAATGGATAAAGAGGGGCACTTTAATTTTAGGGGTGTGAGTGGGAGTGTGGCCAGGAGCAGGGTTGTGCTGAGACATTTTAGTGACTCATTAATAACAATTTATGTAACTAAAATGTAACTTAAATCAAGAACAATCTATCTTCTTTACACAGGCTAATTTCTAAACAGATTTACTGTAGTTTAAAGAGTAGTTTTTATTAGGAGAATTATTGCTGTGGAGCTCTGCTATACACTCAGACACACCAACAATATGGAGCTCGTAGAAACGAGGGACAGAGGGATTTGGGTCCAAAATAGGGACTGTCCTTCCTAAATAGAGACACTTGGGAGGTATGCAATTTGATTTCAATTCATTACATCTCTGTGTATATTGAAAACCCCACTGCCTATTCCAGCTCTCTACATCCCATTGCATATAAGTAGATTGTAACAAAGAAATGGATTAAAATGAATCCCTTGTTTTCTCATTCCATGGCCTGTCTCTTTCATTAGTATTCTGTGATTTCTCTGCTTATTCTCGGTCTCATTCTCCCAAGGGTGCTGTCATTTTGCATCTATTTACGTAGAATTATTTCGATGCTGGGAGGACCTGCTTTGAATTTTCGACGTATTTGACCAGATCAAAATAGACATGTATTGAACTTCCAGACATTGTGTAGGGTCATTGTTTGACAGCTCCATGTCGGGAGAGATTGCAGTATTATAAAGTGCCAAATTGAAGATTTGGATTGGAAATTCACAGCATTCTAAATCTTAGGGGTTTATTCTCTAAATTCCAAATAAAAATCTGAAAAAAATTCTGGAAGTCAACAGTTAACCTGAATTACGCAGTTCTCGTTTCAATTTGCTACAATTCAGAGTTTAGTTAATAAACATGTTACATAAAAAGCTGAAAATAGGACTACAGCTCCCATGATGCTTTGCAAACCACTATATACACTGTAAATTAAAGATTATTCGTCCGGTGATGCAGATGCAAAACAGTTGGGTATAAATAAGTTCTATTAGATAAACAGAATTATGGAGTGAAGGTGATTCTTCGCTTAGTATAATCTGTTCTTGAAAACACTGAGCTCCGGAGAATAGAGAATGTTTTAAATATGAGTTGGAGGCACTATGCAAAGGTCATCATATGTAATGTTAGTCCAATCAATATATGAAACAATATAATCCCGACATACTGAAATTTGTGTATTATTAACGCACATGCAGGCAATGCCTATTTTAAATTGCTTAGTAAATGTGTCATTACATGAGTGCCAGTATCATTCCAATATACTATTTGTCCAATTAAATAATAATATTAATAATAATACATTTAGGAAGTATTAAAGGATTGTAGAATGCTGTGTGAATCTGCGTGTAGAAGTATGGCAGCTCTCTGGATAATTAGGGATGTAGTGGGAGTTTATTCTGACATCCTGCAACACTTTAATGACTTCACAATGTCTCCCTGGACCATGTATGTTTCCTCCTGAACCGTATGTAAATAAGGGGTTAATTTAACCTGGGCTAATTGTACTATAGGTCAAACTAGGGGTGACATGGATGGGTGGTTTGAAACTCACTTAAATATGTACGGGAACAGGGGGGGTGTTTATGAAAGAGCTAATTTCTACTACAATTGGCACTTTTATAAAAAAAAATAATTAAAAAAGAGGACACACTCTTCTGTTAATTCTTCTCCTCCTTTTTTTTATCATTTATCCTCTCGGCCTCTTCCCTCCACACAGTCCATAAGATGTACTGTGGGTTTGCATGCACTAATAAGTCATTTAAATAAATATGTATTCTTCAAATAATACTTGCACATTTATTTTTATGTTTTCTTGAATCTGAAATTTCTCATATCTTTAAAATAAAGATGTTTTGCAGATGAACAAATTTTTTTTGTCTAAATTTCACCATTTAGTTTTTCATTTTCGCTGCTTAGGATTTCAGTGCATAATCTTCACTGTGCAACTTAGATCTCTGTCTGTATTTATTTAGTCTTTCAAAAACACCCCAAAGGATACATTGCTACTATTTGCATGTGTTATGGTGCATAGAGGTCCCTTGTCTCCATTCACTTAGCATCTTCCAAGCAGATCAGTCTGAAAAAAAATAAATCACTGCATCTACAAGTTCACCCCTGCATCAAATACGTCATAAATGGAAGCTAGGCTTTAAACGGAACATATGTGTATTAGACTGTGCCCGCAAAATGGACCGAACCTCCATTAAAATCACTTGGGGACAGTGGGTTATGCAAACTTGCCAAATATAACAGCAGGCTAGTGAATAGCTACAACAGCTGAACATAATTATTTTAAATAACTTCTTGGAATATTCTCGATACTGGTACACGCCAACCAGACCGGCTGGAAAACTACGCACGTTGCAAGTCACTATGGATGGCGAAGTTTAACTTCAAGTTAATCAGTTACCCTGCTGTATAATCTAGCTCTGAATTCATGTGAGTCACAGCTCAAAAAAAAATTAACATTCAGAATGATGCGTAAGACGTGGTTGAACTGCAAATTTAGACCTTCGTAACCATGTGTTATTGTCAGAAATTGGGGCGATAATCTGGGTGTTGAAGTGTGAATGAGAGAATAAAACACCTTTTTATTTTGTATCACTGAAATACCTGTGTGCCAAATCTTCAATGTGAAATTATTCTTTGCAGGGGGAAAAATGTATTGAAGGTAAATTCCTACTTTTCTCTAAAAGCCGTTTATGCCTTTCAGAAACGGTATTTTTCACGAGAATCACACCTGATTTGTCTGTCCATCCACATAATGTCTGTGTCGAGGTATTATTGGTGTAGAACTCTGTAAAAGGACTCCAAAGGACCATAACAGTGGACTGTAATGGTTATAGTGGCAGGAGTGCCACTTGCCCCTCCCATGTAAATAATGAAACCATTTTATAACGCATTGACTTGTTATCTGGTATCCACCAGGTGCCGCTATCTGCCTCTTCCATCCTAGTAGGCTGCTCTCTCCCCTTTGCCCAGTGGGTGTTCATGGTGTTAGGAGTGTTTCTTTAAGTTCCTGGAAAAGAGGCACATTGCAATAGACAAGACAGCGAGATTGATTTGGGCCCAAAAGAGAGACTACCTCTCTTAAAGTGGGACATTTTAATTAAATTAAATAAACAAATATATATATTAAAATTAGACATGCTCCTTTATTTTAGATTATTGGCCCTGCTGTTTTTTTTCTTTTAATTCATTATTAATTTCCCATGGAACTGAAAAGGACTGTAGTCACCAAAACAACTTTAGCTTAATGAAGCAGTTTTAGGTTATAGATCATGCCCCTGCAGTAAACTATGCTCAATTTTCTTCAATTTAAGACTTAAAAATCACTTTCTTTATGCAGCTCTAACCACACTTCCCTGCATGTGATTTACACAGCCTTCCTAAACACTTCCTGTAATAAGTCAGCTAATGTTTATACTTTACCTTTATTGCAAATTCTGTTTACTTCAGAATGTCTCTTTAACCTTATTCCAACGCCAGGAGAGCCTCTCCACCTGTGATTAAAGGGACATTATAGGGTCTGGAACACAAACATGTATTCCTGACCCTATAGAGCTAAACCCACCAGTTAGGGGGCTTGCCCACTTAAAATCAATTAAAACTTACCTTATTTCCAGTGCGGCACGGGTCTGCCGGCACTGGCCCTGTCCCCTTGGTGACATCATCAGAATTGCAGATTTTTAACCAATCCAATGCTTTTCCATAGGGAAAGCATTGGATTGGCTGAAATCGTCAAGGGGACGGGGCCAAACGCCATTTTGGCCAATCAGCACCTTCTCATTTTCTCTATGAGGAAAATTCAGCATCCCGATGCAGTGTGTGGAGATGCTGAGTTGCAGTGCTGCCTACTGTGCAGCACTGAGCCAGGAAGCACCTACAGTGGCCATCTGAGGAGTGGCCACTTGGCGGTGTCCTTAGTGGCAATGTAAAAGGCAGTGTTTGTATTAAAAATCCTGAAGGCAATTATTATACTCACCAGAACAACTACGTTAAGCTATAGTTGTTCTGGTGACTATAGTGTCTCTTTAAGTCAGTTCTCATAACTTTTATCGAATCTCTCATTTGGAAGACGCTTTGGCGTATGTGCGGCTATGAACATGCAATCACCAAGTCACTGTTTTCAGAATATACGTTTATGTAGTTTTTTTTTTTTTTGTCAAAGTAAGATCTTCAATAGATTTAACAGATAACTGACAGCTAGATCGTCCAAAGACAAACCTGATTGTCAAACTGAAGACTTTTTTTCCTCCTCTTTGCAGCACAGATTACAAATTCTTTTAGGATTTTTGTCTTGTTCTGAATAAACACTGGGAACAGGTATATAAAAGGTTGAACTTCATATTCGTCCTTTACCGACCTCTGTATTACTACGTATTATTGCAGAGACGGGTTGTGAATGATAGGCGTTGCATTCCAATGTTTAAGTGCTCTTATGTTGGAGATGGTTAGTGTTTGCAGCACAATTAATTTTATATATATATATATATTTTATTTTTTTTACTCCTACTGATTGATTTAAATCAATATTTAAAATCAGTAAAAGTCTGTGTTATTTATTTTATCTGTGAGACCCCAGGATATGGCTTGGTTTCTCCAGATGGTTGTGTCTGAGAGATAAGCCCAGGTTTCAGTGAATTATTGGTTTGAAGGAAAGGCTGTGTCCATTATTCTGGGAGATAATAATGTAACAGACACAGGCACACAGACTAGTCGCACTATCCTGAGACAGACTGCCTGATAACAGGGCTGCAGGTCTGACAGATAAGTTTGTGGCTGGCAACAGTCTGCCCAATGAGTCTAGCAATCTGTCGGAGAGCTGGTCTACCTTCTGGCACAACAAAGTGTCTTAAAACGGCCAGTGAGGCAGTGTGTGTGTGTTCTAATTTGCTTTCTGCATAGAATTTTTTTAAATTAGATATTTTTTTTCTCCTATCATCCCCAGCCAACCAGTTATTGGGTGACCCTCACCGAGGTGGGTAGGGGTTCCAATTCTGATGGTAGTTGTTGGGATGTGCTGATCTCTCAGTCCTGGTGCAATCTGTATTTAGATACATTTTCTCAATGTTACAAAAACACACATTAACGTGTGAATTGCCAGAATTCATAGTGAATTTCAAATTTTAGACCCGAAATAGCCAAAGTGAAAACATGGGTCATTCTTTTCAATTTTACTATTGTGGCCTAAAACTTTCACTTTTAATTCACAATAATTCACATTTCAGTGAATAAACTTGATGGTTGGGGACACTGTGCATATTGACTGAACTGTGAGCTGATAGCTGAGTGCAGTGCGGCGGGATTTGGATTGATATATACTTATTCACTTTACATTGCACAATGTCCTCGGCTCTGTTCGCTGACATATTTCAATATACCTGGCGTTAGTGACTGCTCTCTCCTTTTTTGTTCATTCTGCTTCGTATTTCCACTTCAGGGGCTAAATTTGATGCCATACAGAACATTTTCAGTAAAATGTCTTTAACCTTCAGATGTAGAATGTTCATTTCGAGTCGGTTAATTGCTCCGCATAATAGCTCTATCTGCTGAATCACTCGGTGCAAATGTATCAGGCTATTAGCAGAATGACTTGCCATCAAGAATTAACCTGACCCGCAGAACAATTGACAGACACCTTTACTCCATCCGAAAGGACAGATCTGCTCTCGTAAAACGGAGGCTTTTAAGCTGTTATGTTGGAATTTCAAAGACAGCTAATTAAAACCCTTTTTCTATATCTTGTACCCGACTCAGGTCCTTTGATTTGTGACCGTTCACGTTGGATGATTTTTTATTTATTTTTTTGTTATCTCAATGACGAAGATTCTATAAATGTCCATCTGTTGCTTCCAATAAGAGGGTGTCTACATGGACAAAACAGGAAATTACCGTGGCTGTCCTTATAATGTCAGACTGGCGGGGTTTCAGTGTCTGATTATAATGCTTTGTTAAATTAAGACTGGTAATTAGACAGTGAATGGCTATTTCACTTGCAGATGGTTACCGAGTCACTGAGCAATACAGGGGTTTTAAAATGGCAATGTTAGATTTGAAAGATTCTGCGACCTTGGGAAGACTGTAGGTCAAATACACTCAGAGCAGCACTGTTGCTCTACTCGTTAGTCATTTTGAGTGTGACAGCCAAATAGTACACATGCTCACTCAACAGCGTCTAGCACCCCACTGACTAGTACAGTGAAGTGGTCATTGTTCATGCATGCGCATTCCAGTCCACTGTCGATGTTGCGCACACTGTTAAATTTAAAAGAAGAAAAACTACCACAACAAGAGGACATAGTCTTAAACTAGAGGGGCAAAGGTTTAAAAATAATATCAGGCAGTAATTTATTTACTGAGAGGGTAGTAGATGCATGGAATAGCCTTCCAGCTGAAGTGGTAGAGGTTAACACAGTGAGGGAGTTTAAATGGACACTGTAGGCACCCAAACCACTTCAGCTCATTGAAGTGTTCTGGGTACATTGTCCCTATTTCCCGTAGTACTGCAATGTTAAACATTGTAGTTCCAGAGAAACTGTAATAGGTAATTGCAGCACCAAGTCTGCCTCCAGTGGCTGTCTACCAGACAGCCACTAGAGGGCATCCTGGATTGAAATGGACTTTTGGTCTGTTGTCTGACGCTGGACGTCTTCACGCTCTGCATGAAGACATCCAGCGTCAGATTTTTCCCCGTAGGCATTGATTGCGTGCGTAGCATTTTCCGCATATTAGAGCCTGCTTATCGCGGGACGGAGGAGGGGCAGAGTGTCGACCCAGTGCAGAGGGACATCGGCGCTGGGATCAGGTAAGTAAATTAAGGGTTTTTAACCCTTTATTTACCGGGTTGGGGGAAGCTCGAGAGAGGGGGAGCGATAGTGCCTGGAATACATGCCAGTATCCCATTAAGCGTGTGTGGGGTAGGCACAAGGCTATCCTAGATAGAAGATAAGGCCAGGTATTAATGAAAGATGGGCCAAACGGTTCTTATCTGCCGTCACATTCTATGTTTCTATAAACTATGGATAATTTACAGGTCCAATGATATCTTTAAATTGCTAAGCCAAACTAAAAGCTGTTTATCTTTGATACACTGACTTATTTTTTTCCCCATTTTCTAACTTTCACGGTCACCTCCTCCATACTTGATGGAGCTGTCCTTTTCTTTGTAATGGGAGCCAATGGCTTATTTTATTCATACCTCCCAATATTTCAAATTGATAGAACACTTTAATTTCAGGGGTGTGAGTGGGGGTGATAAAGGACGGAACTGTTTATGTAACTTGATACTAAAGTATGCAGTTAAAACGTTATATAGAACATGAACTGATTTCTAAACACATTTATTGTAGTTTAAAGGGACATTTTGTCTCAACGATATGGTCTGGGTGCCCTGTCCCTGTCGCTTTAATTCTGTAACTAAAAACAAGTGCTGTTCCGCAGGGTTTAAATGCCCCTAGTGGCTGTCAGTCTGAGTACGACTATAGGTGAAACTGGTGTAGCATCAGGCAGCTCAGGCCTTTACAGCACATGTGCACAAGCGTCACAATAATATCCTACGGGAAAGCATTGGTTTGGCTGAGATCATTAATCTTGATGATCTCAGCCATGAGGTTGGGATAGCATCGCGGAAACTGGAGTTTCAATGGGAGATAAGGTGGGGCAAGATGCCTAAATGATTAACAGGGCACCATAGCGTTAGGAAGGAATACACATTTATAATTGCAGATACACGAGACAAAAGATTGTTTGATGTCGTTGCTTAAAGTCTAACATTTTGTTTCTCCCATTGAAATGTTTATTTTTAGGACACAGCGGGACAGGAGAGGTACCGGACCATCACAACAGCTTATTATCGAGGAGCTATGGGATTTATTCTAATGTACGATATTACAAATGAGGATTCCTATAATGCTGTCCAAGACTGGTATGTACATAGTGAGATTAATATTTTCAGAACATTTAAATCTGCACAGCACCAAAAGAAACATTAATGGAACACTCCATTGGGAAAAAAATGAAAAATCACTATTTAGTAAATATCCCCACACTGAAACCACTCATGCATTTAATTCAGCATGTATGTCCTTTTTCTGACGACTTGGTGTCTGCAGCTTTTGCAATCCCACCTCTCTGTACGCAGCCTGTCTTAAATGTTACTGAAGTCTAAATCTTAAGCGTTATCTGAGTTGTGGTCTAGGCTAGCAGCATATTGTGCAAGACACAGTCCTATTTATTTTAATGATAGTTTATTGAATGTTAACAAAAGATGTCTTATTTATTTTATATTTCATTCTTCATCCCATTCTAATTAATCCATGCAAACATTTTGTGAGCTCCTCTGTCTGCACAGCACGTTTTGTTGTAGGAAAAACCAATCCTATGAGAACGAAGGGATAATTGGGTAATTACTGAGTTTCGATGAGTTGAGAACAGACTTGCTAATTCCAGATCAAAATAGCTGATTTGAAAAAATATCTCTAAGCCACCTGAATGGGATGATTTACCGCCCCCACCTCATGGAGGCTTAGGATTTTCAAATCTTGGAAAGTCAAGTCACCAAGGATATATATTTATTACTTTTGTGAATTGTCAAAACTATGTGGATGAATATAGAGGAGTAAACTAGAAAACCCTTAGAGCAGTCCATTTATTACAGTAACCCGGATTTGCTGCTCATTTACACTGAATGGATCTGATTGCAGACTTGTAGATACACAGCTCTGCTGAATTCTTAAAGGGACACTCCAAACAACTACAGAACTTTACCTTGCTTTAGTACTTTATGTTTGAGGAGTGTATTTTTTTTTTTTTATTGTACAGATTAATCTTGATACACCCCCTGGTGTATGTCTAAAAACAGCTTGCAGGAGCTGTAGATCACTTTCTGCAACCTTTACAAGCCCTCCCCTTCTAACCCCGCCCAGACTTTCTGTGGCTGTCCAATCACAGACTTCCCAATGCAGCTCAATGATAAGTCTTTGCAAGGCAGGTGCTCTGGGCAATTGCTGCCTCTTGAATTTATCTCCATAAACAAACCAATAAGTAACAGAGCCGGTTGTCTGTCTGAGTGACAGCCAGGGGGGTGTAACAAGGTTAATTTCGAAAAGTGTCCATTTCTATTGAAATCTGCACTTTTTGTAAAATGAAAAAAGAGGACACATTCTTCACACATAACAGCAAGCTAAAGTCCTTCAGGAGTCTGGAGTGTCCCTTTAAGGACCTGCATGATTCATAGCAGAGTGTGTAAGTTAAGATTAACATGTCAAGGGATGTAACTCGAGGACAGTCTGAAAAACGCAGAAATTAGCCGTGTTTCAAACTCCCAATACTCTTGGGCAGCAGTAATTAGCTTATAGTATTCCAATATATATATATATATATATACAAAACAAAGCTATAACACTTACTTGTGTGCGGTCATTGTACATTTAAATAAGGTGGTTTTGGTTCCTCGGCATTGGCCATAAGAGTGTGAGCTCACCTGCCAGCGTCAAGGCAAGCCTTTCATAAGTCCTGCAGTTCTTATATAACTTAGTCACTAAATCCACAACAATAAAGGATTGGGCTTGAGCCCAAGTACGAGACAAATCTAATACTATGAATGAGGCGGTTAGGTGAATGAAACTATACAGCTAAATGGGCTGCACTAAAGTAAAAATCAAACAAATAGACATATAGGATAGTCTGCAAGGTGAATAACGTGTTCACTGAAAAACGTGAGAAAGGTGGCCGTGGGCTAAATAAAAGGAGCCAAAACTTATAGCAGAAGTCTTAGAAATTAAAATATTAGCTAACACGACTGATAGTGATTCACCCTCCTAGCCCCTCACAGAACTAAAGAGCGACAGGGAATATAAATTTACAGCTAATACGAAGGAAAGCTGTATTAACCTACAGAGACCTATGGGTGGGAAATAATAATAATAATAAATAATGGCTCTGCTTTATGGTGCACTGATGTAGTCAGGGACCTGTATACTCACCCAGTCTCCACTCCTTTTGAAATCTTTGAAAACACACTTCTTCAGGAAAGAATATCATTTAAACTGTGAGCAGGTTTTCACCCCCCCCCCCCGACTCCTCTCCTGCAACGGTCGAAAATAATCTACTAAATTCTCAGTGATTACTTTTCTAGCAAACTACTTCATTACCCCTACTTATACCCCACTCCCTCTATAACCCACTCCCTCCAGCATGTAAGCTCATTGAGCAGGGCCCTCAACCCCTCTGTTCCTGTGCGTCCACTTATCTGGTTACGATTATGTGTCTGCTAGTCCACCCATTGAACAGCACTACGGAATTTGTTGTAGCTATAAAAATAATAAAATAATAATAATAACAAAAGTTTGTATGTGCACCCTCTGTCCTTGGTGCCCCCAGGTCACCATAGATATTTCTCTAGTGAAGCAGCTATTCCCTGATATACCCTTAAGAGTAGTGGGATTATTTCCCACCCATAGGTATCTGTAGGTAAATATAGCTTACCTTCGTATTAGCTGTAAATTTATATTCCCCATCGCTTTTCCCCTTTTATTTATTTTAAGTTATTTTCAATTATTTTTTTAAATTTTAATTCCGTGAAGCTTGGTTTAACTTTTCCTTTGTTTTCCTTTTCTCAGGGCCACCCAGATAAAGACGTATTCCTGGGACAACGCGCAGGTCATTCTGGTTGGGAATAAATGTGACATGGAAGATGAGCGAATTGTTCCATCGGAGAAGGGGAAGCAGCTGGCCGATCAGCTAGGTATGTGTTATGCAGCAGCCCCCCCTTCTGTTTGCCAGTAGTACTGCAAGCATCTTTATATTGGCATGGTCATACACACAGCTTACACTTTATTGAATAACTATTGCACTTGGCTAATAATTGGAAGTTTTTTGCTGCCGACCAGGTGTTACGAAAAGTTACTCGTCACCACAAAGCAAACATGTACAGGATATTAGTCTTTGATTGATAACACGTCCCTCCAACATACAATGTTAGGGTTGTATTTACCTGCGGTGTCAGTTTTTGAATGCAGGGGGTGTATGGTTAACTTATCAATATTAAAAGCATCTGTGAAGCACAAAACAAAGTATATACCCCCTAAAACTCAGATTCTGAATAGTTTTCCCTTTAAGTCTTTTTTTGTGGGCTTGTGTCACAGTCACATTTCTGAGCTTTACAAATGTCTGCCCTTGCAGGGCAAAATAAGAAATGAATACTTTATGAGTAGTGATCAGTTCAGTATTTAAATCATTAAAATGTATTATTTAGGGACGGGGCCTAACCGCCATGCCGAGCGGTCGCACATGAAACGAGCTCCTGTCTAAACTATAAGAAAAAGCAGATAAATCAACTCAATACCAGAGCAAACCTGACAACCCCTGCTGAAGACACCCTGCGACACAGCCTACGGCATATTACAGATCGAAAGGTAGTTTTACCTCGATGCATCTCAGAGAAATACTCGTGGGGGCAGCTGTGGAGAATCTCCCTGCTGATAATCCTGCCTGGACAAGGAGAGGTGACCGGGCTCCCCGTTCCCCCCCCACCCCCCCCCCGCCGGTGAGGGACATCCCGGTAAATAATCGGCGGCTCATCTAACGGAGGGGTCCTATGTAATCCTGCAGAAGCCCCTTCAGTCTGAGGCCTTCCACTCAGCTGTCCTAAAATGGCGGACACGCCATGTGAAGACAGCCTAGCGACTTCTATGAGGCGCCTGGACGAAATCTTCGCCAACTTTTGGTTCGCCACCTACTACCTATCGACCAGCTAAGCATGTAACCCCCACACCACGCATCCCACACCAGCGGAGGTGACTCAATCAACTCCCTGGCACGTACAAAACTCAGCGCCGCAATCCCAGGCAGAGAATCGCAAGGGGGCGAGGCACACCTCGCGCCTCCAGAGGATGAAGCTTCAAGAGCCACCGGTGGAGGAGCTGCACGCAGCCGGACCGGCAGGAACCGGAGCCCGACTCAAGCCTGGGACAGGCGGCATGACAAGCTCAGGGCCCTTAAGACTTTCGCACCACAAAGAAGCCAGGTACCAAGACAGGGGATAGGATGATCTGCCACTAATGTTCTGCCTGGGCATCTCAGTCACCGTCACGCTTTTATCTCACTGACTGACTTGCACCAATCCTCACCTGGACTATTTGCGCTAAATGGCCCACTCTGTCGACTTCCCTTGCAACCCTGATAGTACCCAGTGGCCATGGCGCTCTACCCGATCAGAACAGTGGAGCATATTGATTACTTTATTGTTTATTGTTGTTTTTCTATAGTGTCTACCCGATAATCTTGGTATTCCAGGATATGCAAACGGAACCGAACTCTAAAGTGACCCTCATGGTTAATACGTTCTTGTTTGTTTTGCATTTTCTACCTAACCTCTTGATAACTTTGCAATGTATTACTCGCCCACTAGGCATATTCCCAGACAGCCTGCCACCTGTTAATTTCGGGCTGACAGGCCTACTTGCCTGACAGTTCATTTGCTCCCTACTCCCCTCTCACACCTGTGACCCACAGGTATGCATTATATCGCGTCCTCATACAATAACACGTTGGAGCACCTCACATAGACTGCCTATATGGTACTACAATACACATCAGACGTGCAAGACTAGCCTGCGTCCAAGATGCTTCATTAACAGCATAATTAACGCTTCTCACTATCACTACACAGTACGCATGTCACACTAACTGTGACAGCCCAGCCACCCGGATGGGTGACAGCATAAAGTTTTTTTCTTGTTATAAGCTGCAAATACTGTTAAGGATTAGGACTTACATGACACCATCGTATAAGCATGACTATTATATTACAAAAATGTGCATTCCTATTGCATGCCTTGACATTGAACACCAGTATTGAATATGTCGGTTTGTTTTTGCTGTCATGGCATCACAGACCAGCTTGTACCTCACTGCACAAAAAATAAAGAATAAAAAAAAAATGTATTATTAAAACTTTGTTATGTGCCAGGAAAACATATCCATTTTCCTGGCACTGCAGGACCCTCAAGTGCCCCTCTCTCTCCCAGCCCCCATCCCAAGTTGCTGAAGGGGTTAAAACCCCTCCAGTGACTTACCGGAGTCCAGCGCTGATGTCCCTCGGCGCTGGATCAGGCTCCGCCCATGCTCCTCCCACGCTGCCGTCAGCCGGCGGGGGATACCTATCGTGCATGCGCAGCCGGGGAGACCTAAAGGCATTGCCGCACACGCACATTAGACCTTTCCATAGGAAAGCATTGAATAATGCTTTCAATGCTTTCCTATGGGGATTTTGCGTAGCGTCATATAACACACTTTTCTAGTAGACAGCCACTAGAGGAGGACTTAACCCTGCAAGGTAGATATTGCAGTTTATGGAAACTACAATAATTACACTTGCAGGGTTAAGGGTGATGGGAGTTGGCACCCAGACCACTCCAATGGGCAGAAGTGGTCTGGGTGCCTGGAGTGTCCCTTTAAACATTATCTGAGCATTTTCATTGACGGTGTCTGAAAAATAAGCCACAGATTTAATCTAGGCGCTGACAATCTCCAGAGTGCTTGAGATACATTAAGGCAAATATTGGAATAATTCTTTTTTCTTTGCTGATATGTTTTCATTCCTTTACTCCAGAGCATGTGGAATTAAATGCTAGTTGTTTTTATAACGGCGATGTATATCTTTTTGTCTAACTTAATGGTAATTTGGCTTCTGAAAGTTGAACGATTGAATCCATCATTCAGGATATTAAACCTGCAGCAATGAGGTTTGAACTGACACATACTATACTACAACTGATGTACCAGCCAACTGCCCTATCTCACTCGCTATATTATATGTCCTCTACCTGTAGGAATTGTGAAGCACTGAGAATTTGTCCAAAATTTCCAAAAATAGCCAACCTGAAAAAAAGCTAACTGGGACAATAACATTCATTTCAGCTATGTTTTGCTTAAAATGTTAAAAAGGGACACTAGAGTCACCTGAACAACTACAGCTTAATGTAAACCCTGTATTTTTAGAGAAAATTCAGTGTTTACATTGATTGATAGGAATACCTCCAGTGGCCGTCACTCAGACTGCCACCAGAGGGACTTCCTATCATGTATGGCCCTAAAAAGGCCATGTACACGTCAGACGTGTAAAAAAAAAAAGACGTATTACTGTGTGCGCGCCTTCTCTCTCCTGCCTGTCAGCAGAGGAGCAGGGGCGGGCAAAGACCGCGAGCTGAGCTGTCAGTCAGCTCAGCTTGCGGCCGCGCGCATACGCGGTAGTGCGCTCAGGACTTCATAGGGCGGCATGAATGCCACCCTATGAAGTATGTGGGCATGTGCGGCGAAGCCGCGCATGCGCACAAGGGAGCATGAATGAAAAGCGTCTGATTGCTCCCTGCTCGCCCCCGCCTTTTTCATCATTTTGACGAAATAGGGGGCACGGCTTCACAAGGCTCCTGGCGCTGGAACCAGGTGAGTAAAAATGGCTGCCTGGAGAGTCCCTTTAAATTCCCAACGGTTGAAAACCTTAATTTCCCAACAGTTATTATTATTATTATTATTAGCATGTATATTGCGCCAATTATTCCACCGTACTTTATAATACTATAGAGGGAGAAGTTTAACAATACAAAATGTAATACAATACAAAAAAGACAAAATGTTACAGGAACAATAGGTTGAAGAGGACCCTGTTCAGAAGAACTTACACTCTAGAGCAGGGGTGCCCAAAGGGTAGATCCCCAAATGTTTTAAAACTACAACTTCCATGATGCTTTGTCATTCTAAAGGCATGCAAAGCATCATGGAAGTTGTTGTTTTAAAATATTTGGGGATCTACCCTTTGGGCACCCCTGATCTAGAGGATCACACTTAAAATGACTAAAACTGTAGAGTGCACAAACAGATTAGAATTTAAAATATACTGAGTAAAAACAGATTCTGGACTCTGAATAACAGCTGGTGTGAGATATAGGAAAGGATATAATAGTCTACTTGACCCCTTAGTGAATCTCATATTAGGTGACTGTGTTCTGGCCCTGGAATGATATTGAATAAGGACAGTGCATTCTCTCTGTGATCATGCAGCTCAGATCAGCAAGTGAGGACAATGGTAGCTGATGAATTTGTAAAACAGACACAAATTCCACAGTCAGCTGAAAAACTTCTCTTTGTTCCAATTCGAACCGATTGTGTGCATTGTAGCATTGCTCTATAGAAGATCCCTAGTCATCAGTCTACATTGTATCACTCAGGCGTGGGGTAGTCACAGCAGGATAGGCTGTAGGACTCAAATCACGGATTCGTGTTATGCCACAACTGTATAACCGACTCTGGAAAATCAACACCAGACAATGGATCCATGTATCTCATTAGCAAGAGCCCCTTCCATAACAAAGTTTAAATAATATATTTTATTTCTGTCTGTTATATTTGCAGTGGAATACCATAGTCCAAAGATGGCAAAACAAAGTTTGTTTTGCCAGTTTCTGCTACTAAAAGAGTGAACTATTGCATAAAAATGATAAAGTAATACTTTCCTATTTAAGAGGGATGCTCTCTTAAATGCGCCCAATCCCCTGTCCCTCTTCTATATCCTAACGTCCCTCTTTAACAGGAGCTCCATATGGTTGGTGTGTCTGAGTGTGTAACCGCAATAATACTCCAAGTAAGGTGTCTCTAAACTACAATAAATTTGTTTCGAAATCAGTCTGTGTAAATAAGATACGTTGTTCTTGTGTTAAATTACATTTTAGTAGCAGAAATTAGTAACTCACATAAAATTTCTCAGAATAGCCCCACATCTGGCCACATCCCAACCACACCCCTAAAATTAAAGTATCATTCTTTGTCCATTTTAAATGTTGGGAGTGTTTTCTGCCATCACATATTAATACTAATTATATCCTGACATTTATTGGAAGCCTGTTTGGGTTTTTGGTCCTGTATTTGTTTATAGGTCTGCTATGTTATATAGTATTGGTAGATGACCTGGGCACTGCTGCGAGTTTGTGAATTATATTCTGCTTGTTGCACAGCTGTATGTACACTAAGCAGCATTGATAACGGACTTCCAAGCTTAATAATAAATGATACATAGGTTAATGCATGTGTGTACTTACAAACACATATCTGAGCGAAAATGAACATGTATACAGTGCATTTAGACCCTTTCATTTTTTTCATATTTTTAATGTTGCAACCGTATACTACAATTCTGAAATTATTATTTTTTTCCTCATTAATCCACACTTAGTACTCCCTAAAACTTTTTTAAAACGTTGCAAATTTAGTAAAAAACAAAAACAAAAAACTGAACTATCACATTGACCTAAGTATTCAGAATTCTTGCTACAAATGAAGCGGAGATGAATGCCACTTCTCTGTGTCATCTTTAAGATGTTTCTAAACTTTGGTTGGAGAACTGTGGCTAATTCCATTGATTGGATGTGATTTGGAATGGCAAACACCTGTCTATATAGGTTCTAACAGTTGTAAAAGCATATCAAAGCAAAAACCTAGCCACCAAGTCAAAGGAATTGCCTGTAATTTTCAGAGACAGGATTGTGTGGAAGCACAAATCAGGGGAATTCTACAAAAAGCTGAATTGAAGATTCAGAAGAGCACAGTGGCTTCTATAATACTTAAATGGACAAAGTTTGGAAAAATCAAGACTCTTCCTAGAGCTGGCAGGCCAACCAAGCTGACCAATCAGGTGGAGCTCCAGAGAGCATGTGTAATAATGAAAGGAATTTGTGGAACAAGAACGATCATTGCAACACTCAGTTGATCTAGCTTTTTGGCAGACTTGGCCAGACAGAGGCCTCTCCTTGCTGCAAGACACATTCAAACAAAATTCTCTGATCTGAAGAAACAAAATACAAGATGTTTGGCTTCATGCTTTTTAGGGCAAGGATTGGGAGAATGGTTAGGGTTGATGGAAAGCTGAATGTAGCAAAATACAGACATGTCCTTAATGAAAACCTGATCCAGAGTCCTTAGAACCTCAGACTGGGCCAAAAGTTCACCTTCCAACAGGACAATGTCCCTGAGAAGACAGACAAGACAACGCAACAGTGGGATAATGTTAATGTCCTTAAATGGCCCGGCTCGAGCCTGGACTTGAACCCAATCAAACATCTCTGACATGTCCTGAAAACTGCTGTGCATTGGTGGTCCCGATCTAACTTGACAAAAGTTGAGAATATCCGTAGAGACGAACGACGGGAACTACCCAAAGCTTGTCGCATCATACCCCAAAAAACCTGAGGCTGTTATCACAGTCAAAAGTGCTTCAACAAAGTACTTTGTTATGCGCCTGAATAGTAATGTCAATGTGATATTTAACCTTTTTCTGTTTAATATATTTGCAATAGTGTAAAAAATCTGGTGTAAAAAAATGGAGTTCAAAAATTAAGTTTTTTGCCTTGCCATTATGGGCGTATCGAGTGTAGAATATTGCGGGGAAAAATAAACAATTGTAGCATAAACTGAAACATAAAATTGTTACAATTTGAAGAGGAATCAGAATAGTTTCTGAATGCACTGTAGATACATGGTTTCTATATTGTTTGCAAGACCAGGTATAAACAAAGTATCACGCTTGTTTGTGGATTCCTGCCTTCTGCAATGGTGTCTTAAGGCAGATATGGTACACAGCTCCTTTTTTGAATGGAGCATTGTTACTGTGTGATACAGAGCTCCTTTGAATGGATTATTGGTACAGAATGGTACACAATATTTTGTTAAAGGACCACTATAGTGCCAGGAAAACATACTCGTTTTCCTGGCACTATAGTGCCCTGAGAGTGCCCCCACCCTCAGGGACCCCCTCCCGCTGGGCTCTAGGGGGAGGAAGGGGTTAAACTTACCTCTTTCTCCAGCGCCGGGCGGGGAGCTCTCCTCCTCCTCTCCTCCTCTTCGACTGAATGCGCATGCGCGGCAGGAGCTGCGTGCGCATTCAGCCAGTCCATAGGAAAGCATTCTCAATGCTTTCCTATGGATGCTGGCGTCTTCTCACTGTGATTTTCACAGTGAGAAGCGCGGCAGCCCTCTAGCGGCTGTCAATGAGACAGCCACTGGAGGCTGGATTAACCCTTATATAAACATAGCAGTTTCTCTGAAACTGCTATGTTTATAAAAAAAAAAAGGGTTAACCCTAGCTGGAACTGGCACCCAGACCACTTCATTAAGCTGAAGTGGTCAGGGTGCCTATAGTGGTCCTTTAATGAGGGAGATATTTCCAAGGGGTTTTAAGACTCCATTACATTCTCCAACTAATAACTAGCACCATCTTGGTCCACCCAATTCCATTTGGATGATATTCCACAGAAGGTTCAGTAAGTAGCTCTTCAAAACTCTATAGCATTCCAATGGTTAGTTCAGGGCCTCTTTACTCTTGTATGAAGGAACTTGCTTAAATAGAGAGGGTTAATTTTGGTATGTTATTTTATTATCCCCCCACCCTCCCTTTGCACTTTAAATGAGCTGGCGGTAAGAACATCGTGGTATTAAAGGCTTTGGATATAAATGACAGTTTAATTACAAATATAAAAATGGGCTCTGCCTGCAGCTGTACAAGGCAGAAACAGGGCTTAATTAAAGAAATAGAATTTACTACGGATGTTTTTAATTAAATTCCCGATATGACATATTCCATCTCGTCTGCAGAAAAACCCGCAAAGCGGGAATACATTAATATACAGCCTGGGTTTTATTCCTAGGACGTCGTCTCAAAAGAGAATAAAATTACTAATGCAAACTGTATCATTCTATCTATACAAAACAGTCTTCCCTGACTACAGCCTAGCCATCTAGGTTCTACCCTCAAAATTGATAGCTAAATCCAAAGAAATCCCTGATTCAGCTATTTCATCCTCAAGTTTTCATTTCCCATTTCAACTTTCCATATTTTCTTTTTTAGTGACCAACTGTATATATGCTCATATAAATAATGATAGACTAGTGGTTAAAGGGATACTACAGATCCCTAACACACTTTAGCTCACCGTTAAGTTTTATATTTGAAGAGTTTACTCTTTATTTATTTTTTGCAAAAAAGTGCAGATTTCAATAGAAATTGGCAAATGTATATATTAACCTGGTTCTCCTGGTTTGGTTAACTCAGTGGAGCTAAACTCAGGAGGAAGCAATGGTTCAGAGAACAAGTTGCTAAGACTTCTTATTTATCTGCATAAAGAAGTCTGTGATTTGACAGCCACTGGATGCCACTCCCCTGCATTCACTACTTCCTAGGAGAGACCAAAGCTGTCTATCTGAGCCCAGTGTTGCTTGCGGTCAATGAGCTAGCCCTGCATTGCAGATCATTATCTCAGGAGAGCTATTGGAAGCTCCAGATCATCCAATTTTTAATAGGAAGTAGTGCAGATGGGCAGCAGGGCCCTGGCCAGAAGTCAAACTGTTGTAAACAATTTGACGCCTTACATTGAGGGGTTGCTAGGGCACTCCAGGTACAAAAACCATTACGAGCATTGGTGCTAATGGTGAATGGAGTGTTCTTTTCATTTTGGATTAGAAGTCAATACTTCCTATAGGGCAGGCTTCACCAAACTCCGGCCCTCCAGATGTTGCTGAAGTACAACTCCCATGATTCTCAGCCTATTTCATTCACAGAATCATGGGAGTTGTAGTTCAGCAACATCTGGAGGGCCGGAGTTCGGGGAAGCCTGCTTCAGGGGATTACTTGTTGATACAAATGCTATTAATTGGCCTTGTTTATAATTGACACATTGGAAAACAAATTAAAACAACAACACCAATACTGATCTGTACGTGTGCATTTCTTGCAGGTTTTGAGTTTTTCGAAGCTAGCGCAAAGGAGAACATCCAGGTTAAACAAGTTTTTGAGCGTCTGGTGGACATAATCTGCGACAAGATGTCAGAGAGCCTGGACGCTGAGAACTCAGCAGTCAGTGGGGGTAAAAACATGCGATTTACGGATTCCACTGCCCCCACCCAACAAAAATGTACATGCTGACCTCATTGTAAATCGCTGTGGGCTATACATTACCAGTCTCACGCCAAGCTACGTCACTTCTTTTTGTGGTTGTGTTTTGGGTTTTTTTAAGTCATAAATTTGGCAATAAGCAGTCAATCCTGTGGTTAAACTATAAAAAAAAACAACTAATAAATACATTTGCATCGTCTGTTCTAATTCTAAGTGCAGGACTTTGTATACATCTGGTTTCTTATGAGGTCAACTTGACCATTTGGAGCCATTTTGGCAAATAAAATTCATAAATCATGTGATCACCTAAAGCTTAATGCCCCTGCACTGGAATAAAATGGCCGTGTTGTGTCTGTTTACTAAAGCAGTAATTGTGGGGAACGTATCATTTCAGGAAATAATGTCCGGATTGGCTAATTAGAGGGAGTTAAGAATTCATATATTTTGGCCTAACCTTTGTTAGTTTCCCTCATTTCCTGGTTTAGAAAGGAACCCCCATTTGTGTTAATTGTGTTTTACTTGTGACCCAGGTTTAGTCTTGGTTTTATGAAATTGTGAATTTTGTTCTTATAATCAAGTCTTATATATAAATATATATGTTCATATTCTATATTCGAATGTCACGGTAGAAATGTAAATATATAAATATATGGATGTAGTAATGTTATGGACAATAAACGTGTTTGTTGATATAAATATACATAGGTGACATGTTTTCCATTTGAAAAGTCGATTTTATATATTAACATATAAAACAATATTTGCCAAAACATCTGTGTGAATGTTTTTTCAATATTATTATATAAACAGCCGTAGTATCAGCCCATTTATTATTTGTCATATAATAAGCATCCACCAAAATTAAAGTTCAGAGCAGTTTATTATACCTCCATTAAGTAGTAATAAATAAACAATTATCACATAAAGCGAAATTAAAACAATGATACTCACATATAACTTAACCAGGTGCTCAAATATGACCTTGGGGAGCTGGATTTATTAGTTAAAGTGTTTATAACTCAATCTTTAAGGACTGTACAGATAGAGCCCCCTATTCTGAATATGGATGAAGGATGGACTTTGAATGTCCCAAAAATAATAACCAAATAAATATTACAATAATCCTAAAATACTAAGTTCAGTTGGACCTCTGGAATGAATATCACATAATACTACAAAATATATTATATGTGCTGGGGACTATATATTGTTGCTTATATATAGTGAGTGCAAAAAAATGTGAACTTATGATGAATTCCCCAAATCCCTCAATTTTCAACTTCATATTATCCATATTTGTTTTTTTTACTTTAAAGAGCTATTAAGGCACCATAACTACTACATCACAGTACAGTTATTATGGTGCCAGCAGACACCTGGTGCAGTACAACAGCAAGTACTTAAATAGTTTAAACCTTACCTGGATCACCTAAGCTCCTCTGGTCCGACCTCCTCTTTGGATATATCTAAAGTGAATCCCCTTCTGCTAAAGACATTTTAAACAAGTAATTTTTTCATTGCCCTCTCTTTCAAACCCAGCCTGGATTTTCTGTGTCTGTCCATTAACAGGCTTCCCAATGCAGCTCAATGAGAAGTCTTTGCAAGGCAGGTTCTCTGAGCAATTGCTGCCTCTTGAGTTTAGCTCCACTGAACTAACCAAACCAGGAAGTAACAGGACCATCGACTGATTGACAACCAGATGGGTGTAACCAGGTTAATTTATAATAGTACCAATTTCTATTGAAATACACACTTTTTGTAAAACAAAGAAAAAAAAAAAAGGACATCCTCTTAACACAAAGCACTTAAACAAGCTAAAGTAGTGTAGGTATTTGCAGTGTCCGTTTAGTGTTGTCACTATATGGATGGAATTCATTGTATGAGAGATCAGGTGACACGCTCAAACTAATAAATTCTTTTCAAACTCGGGCAGAACTCCTATCAGTAGGAACTGCTACATTAGCACTATCAGAGGAGGGTCTGGACCTCAGGCATCCAGGGTCCCAGGCAAGTTGGAATTTGTTTTAAATAAAAATAGTTTAATTGCTTACAGCGGCGTGGTCTCACCATAACTACCTCATGAGACATAGACTATCCCTTTTAACCTACTTCTCTGTTTTATTAAGAGTAAATGTGTTTTGCAAAGTACATTTTTTTTTTAATATTAAAACAAAATAACAAAGGAAAGCACAATGACCAGATGATAAAAAGATGCACACACCATTACCCAACATCAGTCATATAGTATATTACAATGAAGCATACAAAGGTGAGTTCTGAAATGGCACAGAGAATTTCAAAATACATGTATAAACACAGCTAGATTCTGATATGTGTGCTGTACTGTCTCTACTGGGTTTTACTGTCTAATAAGGGCTCATTAAATTAATCACTTCTTAATCTCAGCAGAGCGGCTAATCTACTGACCCTTAACCCCCAATCAGCCTATCAACTACAAGCACTATTTATATCATTATTACAGTTAAGCTTCACAACCCAAGACAGTGTCATTAAACAAGAGGCCCTGATTGTACTATCTGCTGGGTTGCATATCAGGGTCCAAAAATGGAATATTCACATGGAGACTTTTCATAATCAGGAGAGTCCCCCAGAGCACCTGTCTTCAAATATGCCGTAAACATAGGTCCTTGGCAGCGATGAATCTATAGGATCACTGATGTGACTGTGAATATTCAATTTTTGGGGAGAAATGACTGGTTATAAAGGACAGGAGTAAAAATAAAGAGAAAAAATAAAAAGGTTATATTATTATTATTACTGTTATTTATTTTAGCGCCAGCATATTCCATAACACTTTACAATATTATTAAAAGAGGAGATTTAACAATAAATGAGACAATTACAAAAACTTACAGGAACGATAGGTTGAAGAGGGCCCTGCTCAAACGAGCTTACAGTCTATAGGAGGTGGGGTATAAAACACATTAGGACAGGAAATAGCAATCAAATAAGGTGGAATGAAGCAGAGCTGGAGGAGAGAATAGAGTGCTGCCCTTTAGGAGAGAGCAAGAGACAGGTATGTGAGGTCGAGGTTACTCTGGGAGGCCATAAGCTTTTCTAAAGAGATGGGTTTTGAGGCACTTTTTAAATTATTCAAGACTAGGGGAGAGCTTGATGGTCGTGGGCAGGCTATTCCACAGGAAGGGAGCCGCCCATGAGAAGTCCTGCAAGCGCGAGTTGGCCGTACGGGTGCGAGCAGCAGACAGGAGAAGGTAATGGGCAGAGCGGAGAGACAGAGAAGGGGCATACCTATGGATTTGTGATGAGATATAAGAGGGGCTAGAATTGGTCAGTGCTTTATAGGTATGGGTTAGCACTTTGAATTGACCCTTATAGGATACAGTAAGCCAATGTAAGGACTGAAAGAGGGGTGAGATGTGAGAGGAGCAACAGGAGAGGAAAATCAGTTGATTCACTGTAGCGGAGCAATATGACTAGTGGGAAGACCTATTTGGAGAGAGTTACAATAATCCATGCGGGAAATTACTAGAGCATGGACAAACTCCTTAGTAGCATCTTGCGTAAGAAAGGGGCGAATGCAGGCTTAAGGTGGAATCTAGGATTTGGTAACAGACTGGATGTGAGGCCAGAATCAAGTATAACGCAGAGACAGCGGGCTTGCAATGATGGACTGATGTGGGTACAACTAACTAACTTGAAGGGAGAGCGAAGGAGGAGGATCAATATTAGGAGGAATGACAAGGAGAGAGATTGAATTTCAAAAAGCGGGAGGACATCCAGTTAGAGATGGAAAAAAGGCCAGCAGTGACACGTTGCAGGGGAGGAGAGATATATCTGGGTGTCATCAGCGTACAGGTGGTAGTGGAATCGAAATGAGGTAATAAGTTTGCCAAGAGAGGCAGTATAAAGAGAAAATAGAAGGGGACCAAGTACAGAGCCTTGGGGGACTCCAACCGAGACAGGACAAAGGGAGGAGGTATCATTAAAAAAGGAGATGGTGAATGAGCGTTGGGAGAGATAGCAGGAAAACTAAGAGAGGACAGAGTCACAGAGACAGAGTGATTTGAAGAGTTTGGAGAAGGAGAACATGGCCAACAGTGTCAAAGGCAGCAGAGAGGTCAAGAAGAATTAGTATGGAGTAGTGGTCTTTGAATTTAGCTGCGATTAGGTAGTGACTTTAATAAGAGCAGTCTCAGATGAGTGGAGGGGGCGGAAGCCAGACTGAAGAGGGTCAAGGAGAGAATTGGAATTGAGGAAACAAGTCAGACAGGTAATGACCAGTCTTTCCAAAATCTTTGTGGAAAAGGGGAGCAGGTATATGGGACGATAGACGGGGAGGACGGGTCAAGAGATGTTTATTTTAAGGATAGGTTCTATAGAAGCATGTTTAAGGGCAGCAGGGACAACACCAGAAGAGAGAGAGCAGTTGAAGATGTGGGTTAAGGAAGGCACAAGACAAGAGAAGATCTGATAAGGTGAGACGGGTCAGGATCAAGCTAGCAAGTGGTGGGGCGAGAGGAAAGGAGAATTGCAGCCACCTCTTGTTCAGTATAATGGGAGAAAGTCTGAAGGGTAGGAAAGGCACGATCAATATGTGGTTGAGAAAGAGAACGGCAAGGTGGGGAAAATTCTTTCCTTAGCTGTTCAATCTTGTCAGTAAAGTAGCATGTAAAGCTATCAGCTGTAAGGTTAGCTTGGGGGATGGCAACCGCAGGGCAAAGAAGGGAGTTAAAGGTAATAAAAAGATGCCTGGGATTGCGGGAGCATGAGCATGACTGTTTTTGGCAAGGGCAAGGGCTGTATGAACGCAACATGAATTTGTAGTGGAGCTAGTCACAATCAACTAAAACAAAACTCCAAATTACCATGAAATATAGTAGATATAGAAAATAATGTAATCACTTTATATATTTTTCTTCATCAAATGGTATAAAGAAATTGCACAGCCAAATATGCTAAATCGGCATACCTCATATCAGGGTCGATCCTAGGATCACAGACGCCTGGGTGCAGAATTTTGTTTGGCGCCCCCATGTGGACGTGGTCATCTTGCTGTTTCCATAGAAACATGCATGTCCAGATTTGGCAACTGTCCAGTCCAGACATGCATGTTTCTATGGCAATGACCCACATCTCCATCTATATGCCCCACCCCTTTTGCAGTGGTGTATCCTGGTTTTGTGCTGCCCTAGGCAGGACAAAACGCAGGCGCCCCCCCCTTCCCCGCGCCAACCCCCCCTGCACCAACCCCCCCTGCCTTCTAAATACACACACACACATTCAATGACAGATACGCATACACTCGCTAACAGAAACACACACACTAACAGACACACTCACTAACAGACACACACTCACTAACACACACACTCACAGGCAAACACACTCACACAGTCAGACACACACACACTCACTGACACACTAACAGACAAACATAGTCAGACACACACACTAACAGACACACTCACTCACTAGCAGACACACACACACTAACAAACACACACACATTAACAGACACACACACACACAGGCAAACACACACTCACTGACACACAGTCAGACACACACACATACACACACTAACAGACACACAGACACACACACATTAACAGACACACACTCACTCACTCACATTAACACATTTTTTTATTTATTTTTATTTAGCCCCCCCCCCCTTACCTTTGGGAGTGCTGGGGGGGAGGGGTTCATTACCTCCCTGGTGGTCCAGTGGATGCCGGCTGGGCTAGGCAGGCGGCTGGCGAGGAGCTCTTCCCCTGAGCGGTCTGCTCAGCTCCCTGCGGCGCGTGAGGGAGCTGAGCGGACCGCTCAGGGGAAGAGCTCCCTCGCCAGCCGCCTGCCCAGCGCCGCCCGCCAGCCCAGCCGGTCAGTTAGCCGCGAGGCTAACAAAGCATTTGCCTGGGCATTTGGGGGGCGGCGTTTTTTGCCGCCCCCTGAAAAATGCCGCCCAAGGCAAATGCCTTGTTTGCCTCGCGGCTAAAACGCCCCTGCCCTTTTGTAATAAGACATACTCACTGACAGACACACACACTCACTGACAGTCACTCTCAATGACAGAAACACAATCTCACTTATTTGAAACACTCACTGACATACACTGACCAGCACTAACACACACACAGACGTCATATTCCGGTGCCCGGCATCACCACAGAGGCCGCGTGAGGGAGCAGGAAGAACAGACTGCGCTCCCTCGCTGCCGCCAGTTTTCTACCCCTTGGTCTTGTAAATTTCAGCACAGTAGGCACCTGCAGTGTGGGGAAAGCAGGTGCCAACTCTGCCTAAACTGAGTAAGCACCGCTCCGGGGGCACCCCTAGTTGGCCACCTCTTGGGCCCCCTGCAACACTCCATCTGCCCACTCCTCGCTGTGCCCCCCACATCGTGGTGCATGAGCACTATGTGACCGCTGACCGAGTGTGACCGGTCCCTCTGTGTTCCCCCAGGAGGCAGATGGCTGTTCGCTAATGCAGAGTAAGCACATGCTTATCTGAATGGCAGTCTTCGACCGGATACAGGTATGGATGTTTATATTTCACATGCTACACAGAATAACCTTATTAGTAACACTTTGGTAAGCCTCATATCGCATGAAAAAAGACAGGATCTTAAAATAATTAAACAAAACTGCTGCAAAATTATCCTTCCTACTTACCTCAGCTGCATTATTCATCCCAGTAACTGATAAGTGTTTAGTTGAGTGAAGGAACAGTGTCACATCCTCTTTATATGGTTACTCCAACCATTTCTGCTTTTAGAAGGTGGTTATGGTGGTAGGAGTCTGTACATACCAAGATATTTGCACGTTTTTGGCAGGTGCTAGTTGCGTCCCCCAGCACATGAGATTTGGGCAGTTCAGAACAAAGTTAATTCTGTGCATTAAAGACTTCTGCTGTCAGCACAAAGGTGACAGACATAATGAGATTCTCCCTTGCCGGCAGGTCTCCCCCCCACTCACTTCATTTAAGGGAAGCTGGTGAAATGGTCCATTTAAGTGCGTCGCCCGGGACCTTTCTCAGTGCTGGATTTCAGCCACGTTTACAGCTTATTTAGTAGGGTTTTCTCAACAATAAAAAAAATAAAACTTAAAACCAGGAGGAGGGGTGGTGGGCATATATAACAGATTTGTAGTGAAAGTTCCTATTGGCTGTCAATCAATGAAGACAGAATTGCAAAGATTTAAGGGAAATTAAGTTGGTGAAGACCTGGAGATCCAGAATTTTATAACCCCTGCTGTATGTACTAGGTGTCCAATTGACCAGATAAATGTCTTGTCTTTTTATGAAAGGTGGAGGAGGGGACAAAACTAAAATACTTTAACATCATTTTCAGCTTAACACTTACATGATTTATACCGCCTTCCTCATCCAGGCCTATTTGCACTTCGTGTTCTCACTAAGCAGCAATTAGGAATGAACTGAAACCCGATTTGCAAAAACATCCTATAGCTAAGACTATAGCGTAGTTGCAGAATTTTTCTAATTTTGTTTTCAATTCACTATAATTCGGTGCTTGATTAACAAACTTTTGCGAGTTAGCTCTAGATCTTATTTCCTACGTTTTGACCTGGAAGTTTATTCATTAAATTGGGATTTGCAGTAAACGGTCCAGGAAACTGCAGCCAAGATGGAAATAAACACCTTCTTTATTGCTGCACTGCGTAGGTCTGCCGGCGCTGGCCCCACTGCCATGGCTGCCATCCTCATAACTGATGATTGCAGCTAATCCAAGGCTGAGATCGTCAATCCTGATGATGTCAGCCAACTAGGCAAAGTTAAACACAGTCCCAGCAATTTAGCATCTCCTCATAGAGATGCATTGAATTAATGCCACTCTACAGGGAAAGTTCAGCATCTCCATGCAGAGTGTGGAGACGCTGAATGTCAGTGTTGCACACTGTGCAGCACAGACCCAGGAAGCACCTGTAGTGACTACCACTAGAGGTGTGCCTACGGAGCAATTTAAACTGTCTTTACATTGAAATGCCTGCAGGATACACCAGAACCACTACATTAAGCTGTAGTTGTTCAGGTGACTATAGTGTCACTTTAAAAAAAAAAAAAAGTTGTCATTCAATGTATGCTCCAGCCATCTATTGATATCCTCTCATTCCTCTAAACCAATCAATACTCACTGATTAACTTTCCTCCCACAGTTTGACTCGAGAACAGCTCATTTTCAGATAGATCCATCAAAAGATACACAGAGCAGGGAGAATATTGATGAAATGTCAATGTTCACATCTACAAAGTGTCAATAATGAATAGTCCAATAAGATAGATATTTAGTGTCAGAACTTTACTAATTATGCTGACAGGGGCCCAAAGTGCTGGCCAATCTCCTCATCCACAGCAAATCTAATTGTGATCACAGTCTTCATGCATAATAATTCGCCATAAAATCCAGAACATAGACAGGTATAACCAGGACTCGGACATACCTCTTTATTTCAGAAAGGGTGGGTGCTAGGTCGCACTAAAATTTTTAAGGGGTTGGAAATTGCCCTCGGACCGGTACTTTGAGACTCCTGACCTAGAGTGTTCCTTTAAATAATCTCATTGTATAACTTGGTAGAGCTGTGGAAAATGTTGGCGCTATATTCATGAAACAAATAATAAAAGAAAAAAATTATAGTAGAATAGCAAAACAAATCACATGATGTCACGGCTCTCTTAACAGCATTATAGGCCCCCAGGCAAAGCAGCGCACTGGAGCCCGGCCTACAAAACCACCCAGAGGAATAAAATGTAAATTAATTATAAAATGAAGCTTTTATTTATTGGTACCTCCAACAAAGTCAGTGTTTAAACATGAAAAAATATGCTGCACGACAGATTAATCCACACAAATGTTTGGACAATATAACATGAGCTTTGAAGTTGAAAACGAGAAATTCTACATAAAAATGGTACTCAATTGGTAAATCATGCAGACGGAGATTGCACAGTTCAGAATTACTATAAATTATCTATTATTAATCATATGTTTAACACAAACATTTAAGAATTTCTTTGCCGAGGATTGCTTTCTAATTGGCATGTACAGCTAACAGTTGATACTGAGGTGATCAGTCCACCTAGACGTTTTAATAAAGAGAGTTTGAAGGTTCTGAATAAATCTCCCAGAATTATATACCTAAACATTGGCAAGCCTGTTGGACCCCTATGCTCATGGACGTTGACATCTCTGTATAATGTGGTAGACACATTGCACGGCACTAAATGCGTTAGTATCTCCCTCCTTTGTGCCCCACTCTGCAAATTGTGTTCTAATGTATTTCAACACTTTGTGTTCAATAAAGGACGTCTCTTAAAGGGACACTATAGTCACCTGAACAACTTTAGCTTAATGAAGCAGTTTTGGTGTATAGCACATGCCCCTGCAGCCTCACTGCTCAATCCTCTGCCATTTAGGAGTTAAATCCCTTTGTTTATGAACCCTAGTCACACCTCCCTGCATGTGACTTGCTCAGCCTTCCATAAACACTTCCTGTAAATAGAGCCCTATTTAGGCTTTCTTTATTGTAAGTTCTGTTTAATTAAGATTTTCTTATCCCCTGCTATGTTAATAGCTTGCTAGGCCCTGCAAGAGCCTCCTGTATGTGATTAAAGTTCAATTTAGAGATTGAGATACAATTATTTAAGGTAAATTACATCTGTTTGAAAGTGAAACCAGTTTTTTTCATGCAGGCTCTGTCAGTCATAGCCAGGGGAGGTGTGGCTAGGGCTGCATAAACAGAAACAAAGTGATTTAACTCCTAAATGACAGTGACTTGAGCAGTGAAATTGCAGGGGAATGATCTATACACTAAAACTGCTTTATTTAGCTAAAGTAATTTAGGTGACTATAGTGTTCCTTTAACTGACATGATTGGGTCTGGTAATTTTGTCCTGAATGTGGAAATATTGAAGCATTTGTAAGAATAAAACATACAAACAGTGGGAGGCGAGAAAAAGGGAAACGCAAGAAGAACCCCACTCACAAGTCCAATAACAGGCACATGGGTGACACTAAACCATTTTGGACAGTAGGTATACTCATTGGACCTGCTGATTTCTTGCAAAAGTACATTTGGAAGGTGTTCAATCAGTAAAATTGTGGTGATCAAGCAGGAAAAATCCCATACTTTCCTCATTTCTAACTTGTGTGGCAATCCCTAATATTTACAATACTGAGGATGAGAGTTATGAATTAAGAAGCAGTTATACAACGTTATTCACTAAACCGGATTTGACCAGGGAATTGCTCTTTGCAGGGTAAAATAGCCAAACTGGAATAATTCTGACACTCTCAGGGTTATTAAAGGGATTCTATGGTGCCAGGAAAACAAAGCTGTTTTCCTGGCACTATAGGTTCCAACAGTTCCCCTCTCCCTTGCGCTCCCCTTACCGCAGCGCTGCAGGGGTTAAAACCCCTTCAGTAACTTACCTGAATCCAGCGCCAATGTACATTGGCGCTGGATCGATCTCCGCCCACGCCGTCAGCCAATGGAGGGAGACCTAATGCGCATGCGCGGCAATGGCTGCGCTTGCGCTAGGATTTTCCCCAAAGGAAAGCATTGATTTCGGTGATGCTGGAGGTCCTCATGCATAGCGTGAGAATGTCCAGCGTCATTTAGACCAGTGTTTCCCAACCCAGTCCTCAAGGCACACCTACCAGTCCAGGATTTAGGGATTACCCAGTTGTGTCTAAGGTGTTTTTTTTCTTCTTTGTAAAAACACCTTAGACACAACTGGGTAATCCCTAAATCCTGGACTGGTAGGTGTGCCTTGAGGACTGGGTTGGGAAACACGGATTTAGACGACCAAAAGTCATCTCAACACCCGGAAGTCGCTGGTAGACAGCCACTACAGGTAGAGTTAACCCTAGCAGGTAATTATTGCAGTTTCTCAGAAGGGACATGGCACCCAGACCACTTCAATGAGCTGAAGTGGTCTGCATGCCTACAGTGTCCCTTTAAACCATTCAAGACATGGTAGGACTATCAGAATTGTGCCGACTCTCTTTGTGTGTGGGCTACTAAGGATGCATTAGCTCAAACAGCACAAGGGTGGAAGAAACTGGATGAAAGTAACAGTAGTCGCTCTCAGTCAAGCGCCGTCCGCCAATTCTAAATAAATAGATTTTCTTACAGGGTTGGCCGGTAATATGCCAAGTGTGTAATATTTCCAAATATTTACTTTTCAGTTTGATAAAACTTGGAGTTTAATGTAGGAACTACAATTTTAGGGATTCAGTCACTAAACTTCAATTTTGCTATTCAGATTTAGTTTGCTACAATTCCACAGTTTAGTGAATAAACCCCTTTGGACAAATTGGAACCATTCTCCAACATCCAAATGCAATGAAAGAAAAAGCAACATGCAAAAAGGACCACTTTCTTACAATTTATTAGACTCTGCAAACTGTAACTATAGCAATTTTAACAAATGTTTAATTCACTGCAATCTGGTGCTTAGTGAACACTAAAATGAGTGTTACTGAAAGCATTATAGCTGGATGTCTTTCTGTTTTCTAAAACAATCTTTCTAAAACCGAACTCTTCATCTCTCCCCCTGTATTCTCCCTGCAGGTCAACAGGACACATATTACCACAACCTCACTGCTTTGGTGTTACCTTTAACACTTTTAATTTCCCAACTTGCCTATTGCAACTCACTACTCATCTGCATTCCAAATACCCGCCTTGCCCCTCTTCAATCCATAATGAATGCTGCAGCCCGGCTCATCTTCCTGACTAACCAATACTCTCACACCTCACCCCTTGCCACTCATTACATTGGATTCCTGTACCCTTCAGGAACCAATCCAAACTGCATTAACCTACAAAGCTCTCACTACCGTCACTCCTCACTACATTACCTGTTTACTCAACGAATATACCCCTTATTGTTTCCTTCACTCTGCAAATAGACCTTCTGATATCTGCTCATTTGCACCCTACCACCTCCCATTTCTAAGATTACAAGAAGGGCTGCCCCGTTGGCTTCCCCATGCCATCAAATTCTCCCCTAGCCTCCCATTCTAAAAGTCATCACTAAAAAAACACACCTCTTTAGGAAGGCTTGCCATCATAATAATAAAGCCTGCAGAAGTGGAATGACAGCAAGCGTACTCTGATACCTGATAGGCTGGCTAAATGACACAGATGGAAGCCGGGTTAACCCCTTAAGGACCAAACTTCTGGAATAAAAGGGAATCATGACATGTCACACGTCATGTGTCCTTAAGGGGTTAAAATGGGGGGTTCAGACTTTCCTATGTGCAGTATTTCAAAGCACAATGCTGCCCATTTTAACTCCAGACACCATGAGCACTTCAAATCACTGAATGGGTTGTGTTGTCTGGAGTAATCCATTAAGGATAAAAACAGCCCAAACAGAAACAGCAATGCTTCCAGTCAGACTACCTTTTTGTCAAGTCTGAGCTACACTTTGAATTCACTATACCGACATTAAATCCCCAGTTACTGAGAGAGCACGCTGCTTCCCTGCGTTTTGTAGTTTTACGATGATGCCCTTAAAGGAAAGCCGGTATTCTATCTATAACGATCCATTTATAAAGTACTGAGAGGAAATGGATTCCGGGTTAAGTGAAGTAGATGTAAAAATAATAATAAAATAAATAGACACATTCCTCCCGCAGGTTTCCGCAAACTCCGGCCCTCCAGGTGTTACTGAACTACAACTCCCATGATTCTCGGCCCAGCTATATTATTATCATGGGAGTTGTAGTTCAGCAACACCTGGAGGGCCGGCAGACAGCCCGGAGCCCGGGTCACACACAGCGCGGTGAGCGGCCGGCAGGCAGTAAGGTCAGTCCGGCAGGCAGGCAGACAGACAGTCCGCCCGGAGGCCGGGTCAGACAGTAAGGTCAGCCGGGGAGGTGCTGCTCTCTCCCAGTCCCATACCCCCACGTGCTGTCACTTCCTGGATTGACGTAATATCGCCGTAACAAAGCCCCCTCTGATTGGATAGTGGCGCTCGGCCCCGCCTCCGCAGCGCTGTGCCCCTCCGGATTGGCTCTCGGGGAGGCACGTGGCCCGGTGACGCCGCCCCATTGGCTGAGCGCTGAGTCGGTGTGTGAGAGAGGCCCGGGTGCCGCACACCGAGTGACACGGAGCCATGCCGAACAGGAACCCGCACAAAGCCGCCTGCCCCAGCCCTGCCGCCCGCGGAGACAGCGCCGGGACCCGGGAGGAACCGGAGCCGGAGCGAGCGGACTGCATGGAGGACCCGGACATCAACAAATCACCGAGCGACCCCAAGAAATACCGGTCAGTAAATACCCGGAAATACCGGTCAGTAAATACCCGGAAATACCGGTCAGTAAATACCCGGAAATACCGGTCAGGAAATACCGGTCAGTAAATACCCGGAAATACCGGTCAGTAAATACCCGGAAACAAAAATATACCCGGTAATAAATACCGGTCAGTAAATACCCGGAAATACCGGTCAGTAAATACCCGGAAATACCGGTCAGTAAATACCCGGAAACAAAAATATACACGGGAATAAATACCGGTC